GGTTACCTGGCTGAGTTTAGTTTCTTCACTTAGGTGTCTGATGCTTGGAATTCTACTATTAGACATTTATTCCTTTGAAGTAAGCCTTGTCCTCTTGCAGGTCTTTAAAAAGCATTCCATTTTTATATTTTATGAGCCAGGCTCTAAGACTTCAAAGGTGAGTAAATCACTGATCCTGCCTTCAAGAAGTTTATAGTCTGGTCGTAGACAATATAAACAAGTAAAATAGAAATAAGACATAAAATAAAGTCCTGGAATTCCTCAACAGGTAGTGGGAGCTTAGAAGACGAGTACTCCATCCTACAGACATGAGGATGAACTAAGAAGTTTTTGTAAAAGAAACCCTCCTAGGGCGCCTGGGTGGCTCAGTCGTTAAGCGTCTGCCTTCGGCTCAGGTCATGATCCCAGGGTCCCACATCAGGCTCCCTGCTCGGCGGGAAGCCTGCTTCTCCCTCTCCCACTCCCCCTGCTTGTGTTCCTGCTCTCGCTATCTCTCTCTCTGTCAAATAAATAAATAAAATCTTTAAAAAAAAAAAAAAAGAAAAAGAAACCCTCCTAAGTCTTGAAAGCTGACTTAAATGTTTGCAGAGTGGGGCATAGGGGCCTGGGGCTGGCACTCCAGGCAGGGAGAGCAGTAGGGACAAAGGTAAGAAGTGGAACAGCAGGGGACATGAGGGACCCACAAGTGGATCGGCCTGGCTACAGAAGGCAGTTAGGCCAGATTGGTGGGCAAGAGTTAGGCTGTCGATGGTCTCAGAAAGACGCGGGTCACTTGAGCCATATAAACAGCCTGGGTAACGTCTGTATGACTGACTAGCCGACCATAGTGTAGCAGAGAGAGGGAGAAAAGGGCAAAGGAAAAGGGCTGGTGTGACTGTCTCACGAGGTAGCTGGGCTACCACAGAGTGGAGCTATTCTCGCTCTTCTGGCTTATCCAGCACACACCCCTAACTGGACACAACCCAATCCCTTGGCTGAATCATAGTCCTCCACAATTTTACACCAACTCTCCAGTTCTACCCTCCCAAACAACCCATGCTAGTCACAATTTATTCATTTGTGGCTCTTCCTGGCCTCTACCTATCTGGAATAGTCCATACTTTCTACCTCTCTGGAACCTACCACCCAGACTCCACTCCAATCCAGGGCGTGACATAAAACACTTGAACGTCACGAGCTTCAGGTGTTCTCCCTCACCTCTCAACATTTTATGGAAAGTGCTACCTGAATATTTAATTCGGTAATTACTCACATGCTGACTTATCACTTCTATTTTTTTCCAAACTTCTTTCCCCAACTATGATTGGGGACATAGATTGATAGAGGGGACAAATATTACATTATTGCATACACCACTAGAATCAGAACAGAAAGAAAACTAGACACCCAATTTTTGTACTTTTCAAGTGCAAGGCTGGAGATTGGGAGACAGTTTTGTTCCCTCTCTTCTTTAATATCAAGTGGCATAAACTTCATAAAGATGCATACATAGCCCTTGCGTAGTTGAAAGTAGGTTATCCCAATATCACCCCACCCTCACAATCTGGAGATCTGACATGGTGGTAAACTTACCTGAATTGTCCCAGCTAATTGAGCACAACGGGATTAAGCCCACATCATTTGTTTCATCTGCACTGCCATCTGTTTCAAATAACAGACTATGCTTACACTAGCATTTTACAGATAAAGCATATTTTCATAATGTATTCACTTTTCCTACATTCTTTCACTTGACCCACCCCAGTAATATTATTCCTACATTAGAGTTAACCATTGCCCAGGAGATTGCTGCCTTGCCCAAGGTGACACAGCTATGTGCAATCAGAAATATACCAAGTTTATTGAATTTCAGGCTGATATTTTATCAGAATTAGGAAGAAATATTTCTAAAATAAATTCCCAAAATTACATCTAACAACAGAACTAGGAATCTTATTCTATGTCATTAATACTCTAAGATTTCATAATAGATTCCTATTCCCAATTCTCAGAAAATTTTTACATTTTCTACAATGGTTCTCTTCTGAGATCTAGAGTAAAGAAGTCAAAGAAAGGTGAAACTATATACAAGATAGCCATGTTCTTTTACTAAGCTTTAAATTCAATTTATTCCCAAAGTGATGTGATTAATGTTAATTCCCTCTGTCTTAACTAATCACATCTCTAAACTCTAAAAACATTCAAGGGATGGCCATCATTGTCTACATAACCAAAAAAAATTTTTTTTAAGTGTATGTGGTATGTAACTATTTCCCCTTGCTTTACAAAGAGAAATCAATATAGTAACAAATGTGTAGATAGCATATTTGGCATGGTGTAAATCCAGTACATTAAAATATTCACTTCGGGGCACCTGGGTGGCTCAGTTGTTAAGCATCTGCCTTTGGCTCAGGTCATGATCCCAGGGTCCTGGAATCGAGCCCCGCATCGGGCTCCCTGCTCAGCGGGAAGCCTGCTTCTCCCTCTCCCACTCCCCCTGCTTGTGTTCCCTCTCTGTGTCTCTGTCAAATAAATAAAATCTTTTAAAAAAATCAAAAATAAAATAAAATATTCACTTCTACAGTATAAAGGGTATATATCCTCAACTTAAAAAGTATAGGAAGTCTTTATAGTAACAACTGTTACCAGACAAAGCAAGCTCCAAAGTAAGTATACATCAAACTTGGATCTAGGCAGATTCTATGCATGTGTACATTATGTAACATACGCCAAATCTTATTTCTGCACTCATAAAAAGATGTTGAGATTTTAGGGCGCCTGGGTGGCTCAGTTGGTTAAGCGACTGCCTTCAGCTCAGGTCATGATCCTGGAGTCCCGGGATCGAGTCCCGCCTCGGGCTCCCTGCTCAGCAGGGGGTCTGCTTCTCCATCTGACCCTCTTCCCTCTCATGCTCTCTGTCTCTCATTCTCTCTCTCAAATAAATAAATAAAATCTTAAAAAAAAAAAAAAAAGGAAAGGACCTTTCAAAAAAAGATGTTGAGATTTAAAAATATCTCTTTTTGCAAAATATTCCAACTCTTAACATCAAAACCAAGAAAGACAATCAATTTTAAGGATACAAGTTTTTTTAAATATATCCTTTGAAGTTGAGAAGGGGGAAAAAAATAAAATAAAAACTCAGACACAGTGGTTCTCAAACTGTTCACTGAGGCACTCCGAGCCACCACAGCAAACTCACATATACACAAGATAAGCTACTAGCTTGTGGCAGGTCAGTTTCAACACAGCATCATGCTCCATTTCCTCCAATGATGTCATGTCTTTGCAAAGCTGAGTTTTCAGTGGCTGCTGTGATAAAGAGGACTGCATAAGCATCAGCATGGAACAGAAAATGAAGATGGCAGTGTTCAATGTATGCAAAGTTCAGTACGATGCACAGTCCCCAACAGATGCATGCATCCCATTAGTAACCATCTCCAGTTATTTAAGAATGAAAATATATTCTTTCAAAGGATATTTTTTCAAGTGGTTACTATGTTGTTAGGGCATAAATATTTAAGTTGTTTGAACATTACCATCACTTAAAAAAATGGGACTATTACTTTTTTTTTTTATAGCAACCCTAGACCAAAATAACACTAAATGGAACTGTGAAAGGAGAAAGTTTGAAAAACTCCACACTAAATTCACATCAGGTGCTTTAAGAGCCTGACCAGAAAAGAAAAAAAGAAAAAAGAAAAAGGTAAAAAGATCTTTCAAACTGTTTCCTATTCAATGGTAAATTTCTCTTTAAGCAAAAATCTGAAAACAGGCTAAGCCCACAACATAAACATTAAATTATTTTTAAATATTCCAAGATACTGCATTTACTTAAAAATCTCTGGGTACTTATTATCAACTTTGGGGTAATTTCAACTATGTGCTATATGATTTATTCAGTAATTAAGGAAAGGCACTATTTTAATTCTCGAATCTGAGTAGTAAGATGTAGAGGGTGCTAGCTGTACTATTCCACTTGTGAGTTGCTTGAAAATTTTTAAGCAGATTCTTTAACAAAAATGGTCATGATATATATATATATATTACTATTATTCCCCCAAAACTATAATAAGCACTATAAACAAGTTGAATTCATTACATCCTCATCACCCACACTGTAATAGAAGTTGCTTTTGAAAAGAATCAGAAGATGGAATTTGCTTGCACTTAGCTAAATATATTTTAGTCTGTTGAAACTTTTTTCTTATTATGAACAAGTATCAATCATCCTAATGCAATTAGGTAAAGACACCTTGACAAAAGGCCCTCATGTTCTCCACTATTTAATGTAGCCACATTTAGTAGGAATTTTTAAAATAGCGTTTTCTCTGTAGTGTTAATTAAAAAAAAAAAAATGTGTGGGCAGGTTAGGTATTGTCTAAAAAAAAAAACAGTAATATGCAATTTTAAGTGGAATAGCATTCTAAAATGTGAAAAAAGGATTTAATTAAAATTTGACACATTATTTGGATAACAGTAAGGTTAAAGTGAGATTTTTAGCTGTGTTTCTTAGAATCTAATGTCTTATAACTCAGAATAATTCACTAACAATCTACCAAAAAAAAAAAGGTTAGCTATGATGTAAGATAATTTTGATAACAATATTTTTTTAAAAATAAGATGTAGAATGGCAGATTTTTGAGAGTTCAAGATAAAACCTCAGTAATATTTTTGTTTTGGGCCATGTTAAAACAGCAAAACCTTTACAGTTAGTTGAATCTTCAAAATACAGTTTTCTCAAATAGCAGGTCAGACCAGGCCACTTATCTGTAAGAAATCATACCACAGCAATGTAGTTACCTGAAAGTAATTACTGAGTTCAATTCCTAAACATGGTTTATTTCCTCTCATCATCATATTAGCAACTTAATACATTTACTTTGATGGGTTTGATCAACTTTTATACTTCCAAACAACAAACAGGATCCAACTTTTGTATCAAATTAATAAAGGTAATGTATGTTTTAAGAAATTGAGGACAGAGTTAAATATAAATAAATATGCAAGAAGTCAAATAAGTGGTGCGTGTGTATAGGACTTTAATTTTGGAAACACATACACACACCCTTCTAGCTATTCACTTAAAAAGCTACCCAATATTTTGTTTCTACCATGTCCACTGTTACACTCTGGGCAAAACCCTGACACCCTTCCTTATATAGAAGAGAAATAGATTAAATTTATTATCCAGAAACGTCTGACAGTATATGCAATTTCTTACTTCCCGTACCCTGGTAATGTCTGTCCTTCACTGACTTTCTCATAAACACTGAAGGTTAATGACAAGTTATGAAAGTCATCATTTTTCCTTTATGAAGTATATTGAAAACAAAAGGCATTAAAGTCATTCATATTGATTTGGCAAAGCTATTTTATGCCATTACCACAACATACAAGAATGTATCAGTATACCATAAACAATTACATAGTGATTTCACAACTATACTACTTATTCCAATTAACAAAATACTTCTTTATAAAAAAATCTGTTCAAAAGGTTACATTCACTTCTTCATTTAATACCATAAGGTTGTAACAATGTCACAGTAGGTTCAAAGACAGAAAATTACTTACCTTAAATATCTGTATTCTCCAAAGGCATTACTCCACTTGGATTACTTAAGGTTCAGGCTTCGTGGACAACTTAGAAGGTTTCAGAGCTACTGAACTTCGTATACCCAAGAAAGAGCCAAACTCTCCCCAAAGTCTCCCAATTTTGCTAATCAAGGAGCCCTTACCAAGGTCAAAAGATGCCATGGGATCCACCAGTGAACAAAGACACTAATGATAGGTCACTTAAAATGGGACTGTTCAAAAAATTCTCATTCCGGGAACATAGGTTACAGGTAGGTACTCTCCAGCTGACAAATTATATCCAAATGACACAGCTCCAGAAGGATTTCTCAGTTGGTGGAGTAAGAAGAGCTCAGTGTGTTTCATGATCTAGCTACAGTCAAGTTCAGAGAGGTGGCTACAGCATAGGGATGGGTTTCTTTTCTGTGACAAAAAGCAAAAGGAGTGAGGAGAGGCTGAGAGACGCCTAGGTCGTTGTTGCATGGACCTCAACAAGGGTTAACATTTACGTCAGCTGTAGACCAAACGCCCTCAGAGTGTCTGACCTACCATACAGTATACATAGGATCAATTCCAGTCTGGTCCCTTGTTCTGAAGTAATTTAGCTAGGACGTCTTCAGCAATACATTATCTGTGGCCTCCTCTTATCATTTCTCTCATAGACTTGACTAAGATTTTAAGCCATAACTAGATAGGCCAGGTATATTCCTCAGTAGTATTTCTTTGGAGCGGAGAGATTTAAAACTATCAATAATTGGGCTCTGCGAAGATTCTAATTTAATTGACTTGATTGTGGGGTCTAGACATTATACAGATTTAATTACTCAGGTAGTAATAATAAGCATCCAGGGTTGAGAACCACTGACAAAAGGTCAGAGTTGGGTAGAATACCTGGGCCTCTTCAATACAGAAGACTATGTTTGAGACCTGGCATTTTGGCACTCTTGGCGGGGGGGTGGGGAGGGATTCCGAATCTCTTCACTTGTCATTAAATGAAATGGTCAGGAACGTAAGAGCCAAGGATACCACCGTTACTATTGTCAAAGCCCTGCAGTGGTTAAAAAAAAAAAAAAAAGAAAAAACGGATACCCTGGTTCCCTCTATCACCTGCACGGCTAAACTACCTCAGTAAGAACAAGGGCGGGGGGGAATTTCCAAGGGTATAGAGATCCAGCTTATACTCAGTTCCCTAATACTTTCTGAATTTGGGCCAATGAAAGGAATACCCATTGAGGTAATAGCTAAAGTGTGTCCTTACCACATTCCAATGAAAATTCAGGAAACAGTAGGAGAGAGGAGGAGGGTATGGAGAGTAGTGGAGAGGAATAATAAAAAGAAAGAGGGGTATAACATTGGGCATGACAGAAACTACTTATTGTAAGTAAGGACATGATTTACACTTTAGAAATACATTTATCCCTGATGGGTCAACTATACAAGGAGAACTTCCTGTTAAGCCTTGTCTTTAAAGGCCTTAGAGGATTACCTCTTCAATAGAGAGAAACAGAAAAGCCTGGATTCTAGCTCCAGCTCTGCCAACAATTAGCTACAGATAACTGATTATGGGAGACTTTTCATTCTATTAATGGATATTTTCCAAGTGTCATGGTCACAACAGAAGATTCTCAAGTAGTCAAATTTTGCGGATCTATATTACAGCTTCAAAAAACAAGGTAATTAATATTTGACTTTACACTGTATTTTGATGTTTACCTTTGACTGGCGTAAGGTCATATCTAATGTTAAAAGAACTTAAAAAAAACCCCTCAATTTCTCCATTCTGTCTCCTCCTATGCTTTTCCTTGTTATTTATGAAAAATTTATGGCTGAATTTCATGTAAATTTAACCCAACTGTCTCATCTTACAGATAAAGAAACAAATTACTTAATCGTTCACACAGCTGTTTAGCGTCAGCACAAAAGCATTGAAGATGGACAGTCCCACCTACCTAATCTGAATGCCCTCATTCTTAGGGGATTTGATTCATTTATACAGTAAAATAGGCTATCAGGAGATAAGCCCAAACAGTGAGAAAAAAACTTTTATGATGCTTGTTTGGCTACATGAAGGCAGCTACCTCAGGATGAAGGGGCAGCAAAAGATGGAAAAACAGTGTAACCCATCTCCCAGATACATCTAAAGACCGACCTTCCGAAATTATGCCAGGTCATGTTATTTCTAAAACAGGTGATGATTAAAATAGCACCATTAAGGTGAAACTGGGTACTTGAAAGGCAAGTACCTTTTCAAGGCAAGCCTGACAATTTGGGGAATAAATGATGCTTTGACCTGCCTACCTACTCCTAATCAGTACGAAGGAACAAAATATATTTAATTTGATGGGAATGCAGTCATAATCTACCAAGGATCATATTTCATTCTGAATTTCATTAGGTAACCCTTACTAAGCTGAGCTTGTTTCCTTAATGTAAAATGGACTATAATCTTAACTTTTCTCAGCTGCTTGGATGACATACTGTGAAGATACAGAGTAATACTGTATGACACAAAGCAAAAAGTGCTTTGCAAAGGAAGAGGGGGTTCAAAATATTAGGGAATTTCAAAATTCCCCCAAAATTAACTTTTTTACTATATCATGTCAGGATGTGTTTTGGAGACCATTTTTTCCAGTATTAAGGATTATAAAAAGAGTTTAGCAGACAAAGATCAGGAAAACATCAAGTTAAGAAAGTTTAACAACTGTTTTTCACATCAAAATTTCTCAGAGCTTTGAATATAATGTACACCATGACTTTCCAAGATAGAAGGAAAAGCGAACAGCACTTTCCCAACTTCCATGACCATCTAACCCTTTTGACAAGGATCAGCTCAGTGGAGCAGTGTTCCATAGAACATACAGAGAAAGAAAACACTCTCACTATATGTTCTTCCTAGTTTCCTATTTGCTCGAAAACTTCTGCTAGAAGAGGAATTTTTTCACAAAAATGTAAATATTTGTAAGCCTTTTAGAGGTTGTCTATTCCAGCTCTAAGATAACATGACTCCAACAGCCAGATCACTTACACATCCTCTTTCCAAAAGGCTAGTATGAATACCTCATCATCAGGACAGAAAATGAACCTTTCAAGTTCTGTAGAAGTCAAACACTCCTTTGTTTCGGGTACAGATATCCGTTACAACAGACAGAAGCTCTTCCCTTGCTGGTCTGACAATACAGTTTTTTTGTCCTCTGGGCCAGCCAGAATAAAAAGTAGACTTCTGCCATGCATGATTTTACCATTTACCTAATACTGAATCCCAAACAAAATTTTGTACTTGATTAATACAAAGGATCTTGAAAATAAGAGGCAGCAACCTGAGAAAGGCATGAGAAGGCATGAGAAAAACATGCATAAGAGGCATGAGAAAAACATGACACCAGAAACTAATCTGCTATAGGTCAATTACACCTCAATTAAAAAAAAAAAAAGGAAAAACTCTTTAATGTTCTTAAATAGTAACAACAGCTAAAATATTGAGAAATGGTTATAGAATTTAAGTCTAGTACTATTTTTATAGTGCTTATACGAATGTTATAAAGGATCTGGTAGACACCAGTGGCAATGGCAAGGAGTCCTATACAAGTTCTTGAATCCTACAAATGATAGAGGATTACAAGGTGTGGCAATATCTTGCATGCACCAAGACTGGTTACAGTCTTCTGAACAGTGGGTAATAAACCTGCCTACAGATTACATCTAAGAGTTCATTTTACAACTCTTTACTAGATAGTCTAAGCTGTGGGCATGTGTAATGGTTTCTGTGGTCTCAGAGCTGGCCCTCTGACCAAATGAGATCAAAACTCTGACTTTATGCTACACCAGAGACGGCCTCTTCCGGGAAAGAGAACAGAAACTTCCTCACAAGGCTTTGGGAGCTGGCAACATGGGTGGGTGGTGGGGGGATAAAGCTCCTCACTAATGAACAGGCTGACAATGAACACCATGGCATCTATGTGGAACAGGATTTGAAAACATTTTAAACCAAGACCATTCGTAGCTTCTTTCTCCCATGGCTGCAATGTCATAATATTCTAAAGTACTTCAACAAATTCCTGGTGTTTTCCATCTTAAGGGAGCTTACATTTGATAGCTCCAGTGTCCTGCAAAAGGGTTGGAACAGCCCACCTACACCTTATCTGGTATGTTCATCCCTCACCCCCACCTTTGGAGGAGTAAGGTTACTTATAAGCAAATTCAAATTCTCTGAAAGACATACATACTAAGTCACACTGGTAAATAACGCGTGTTTTCTAACAGCTCTTAGAAACTGGCAAGGGGACAGAAGCCTATTACTACCCCCAAACTCACCCACCTTCATATATCTTCATTGACAGAGACATTAATAGCAACAGTAAGTTTATACATAAAGAACAAGTGAGGCAAAGGCAAAAGCAGTGCCAATCTGTCTGATACGTGTAGGCAATGGTGCTTTGATTATACCCGTACAAACACTTCAGTCCCTTTTAGTGATCCCCGACTCAGCTCTCAGGCCGCAGATTTTTGCTGTAGAGAACTCAGATGTGATGCAGCCGCTCCAGTAACTCTTTTCACAGTACCACATGTCAATACTGGGAATGGTTTCTAATCAATTTAAACTGAACACAATACTTTAATAGAACAAGAAGTTTATTATTCCCACTCGGTAGTTCCTGGGGGCTTTGATGTTAAGTCATACATAATTCGAGAAATACCAGGAATCTTCTTAATCTCAGTGACCATCTTTAACACCACCTGTTATAAAACAAAGATCATAAATAGAAGAGCCAGGATCCAGCGCATGTCCAACATACTTAGAAGGCTTGCATTTATAATTAAAATGCGATCTACTTTTATTATTCTCTTCTGTGTATATAGTATGGTCTCTGATTAATTTTATGTAGTGAACCTAATTTCCTTCTATAGATTTAAGTGAATTAACTCAGTACTACTCAAAGCGTAGTCTGCAAACAGTTACCAGTCTGCAAATTATGTTTGTCCTAACAAGTGTTTAGAAACATTTATAGCAATTTGAAATTGCTGTGACATCCAAGCATGTGATACTATATATTAAAAGCCAATGCTTCACATATATTCTGTGGCTGAAACGTACAAGTCCACGGCCAGCGCAGTGGCACATAATGCACTGTAATAACAACCACTACCAAGTGTACAAGAGGAGAAGAAGGCCTGGTCACTTGAATGGACAGAGATTTGGCAAATTTGAGCCTAAGGGGAAACAAACTCTAAGCCACAAACCCCAACCTAGCTATCTAACTATAACCAGAGCCTTGCATTAGAGTACAGAGCAGAGGTCCACCTAATAAAGTCTCACTTGGATTTCATTTGCTACTATGCAAATAGCTGCTCTGGAACACTCCAGGGGAGAGAGAACAGGAGAGGGAGATGGTGATCAAAAATAGCTGGTAGTCAGAGCGCCTGGGTGGCTGTCGGTTAAGCATCTGCCTTTAGCTCACGTCATGATCCCAGGGTCCTGGGATGGAGCCCTACATTGGGCTACCTGCTCAGTGGAGAGCCTGCTTCTCCCTCTCCCTCTGCCCCTCCCCCCCACTCATGCTCTCTCTCGTTCTGTTCTCAAATAAATAAAATCTTAAAAAAAAAAAATAGTTGGTAGTAGGCAGAGCATTAAGCAATTCATGGGTGTCTAGCCATCATGGTATCAAATCTCATCCATATTTCTAATAAACTCTTCTTCACTACCAGGGTTTTCTCCTTTATTTGGAAAATACAATTTATAAAGTAGAGGTTGGCAAGATTAGAGGTGGTTACTCCACATAGTAATCAGACATCTGGAGGGGTATAATAAATTTAAGATCTTTTCTAGAAAACTACAATAATTATTTTTTTAATTTAAATTCAATTAGCCAAGTTATAGTACATCATTAGTTTTTAATATAATGTTCAATGGTTCATTAGTTGACTATAACACCAAGTGCTTTATTTAATCAATTATGTGGAGACTAAAAAAAAAACAATAAAAGCCTAGGGGTGCCTGGGTGACTCAGTCCGTTAAGAGTCTGACTCTTGATTTTGGCTCAGGTCAGGATCTCAGGGTCATGGGATGGAGCTCTGCCTAGAGCCCCCCCACACACACACCCCTTTCAGGCTCTATGCTCAGTGGGGAGTCTGGCCCTCTCTCCCTCTGCCCCCCATCCCACGCACACGCATGCTAATAAATCTTTAAAAAATAAAATAAAAAAGCCAATCTTACAAACAGAAAACCAACCCCAGAAATATCAATTTTGTCATAGTCTATTCCAGTCACCATATTATAAAATGTAGGAGATATTAAAAATGTACATGAGAAAAATATGTAAGTTACCTCTACAGGGATTTCATTGCCAGGTGTTGCAGGTATACCAGTCATGAAATCACTAGTAATAAAGGTTCGAATAACCACAGATCTCTGGCATGAAGGCTGCTTCTGAAGTGGGTCCCGATCAAAATGCAATGGTGTCAAAATCACTGGCATCTGGCTGATTTTCCCAGCATACCCTAGAAAAAGTAAACACGTAGAACCCAATGATCATGCCATGGAAAAAGCACTCTAACCCAGTCCCACTAAATCCTCCCAGGTAATATCTAAAATCACATACATAAACATACCAGTTAAGACTGTCATCATGCATTGTTTCCAACTACTGTCATATCTTTAAGTAAACTCAACCACAAATACAAACAGTAGAATTTGATGATTGCGGTGATGTTACAGTGATGCAATATATATATAAGTCCATTCTTGTTACTCAAGGTAGTTATGGTCTATACTATAAACACTGAATTAGCAAATTGTAAACCACTGTCCCTACAAGAAATAAAGAGATTCCTGCAAGCCTCTGGTTACAACATTTTCATCAACCAGTCAATACGTAACCTTGTTTTATGTATGTTTCTGTTTAAGGACACCTTTTTTATTCTGGATTCATTAACACTGAATTATAGGCAACAGCACTATTATAGGCAACAGCACTATAATTCATACATAAATAAAGCTTATCTAACCCACATGCTTTCTCCATAAGGCACATGACAGCCTTCCTGTGCTCAGAAACCCAAGCACCTCAGCCCTATGACTGGGGGACCTTTCAAACAGTAAAATCAGAAATAAGCACAGAAATGCAAAAAACATGCTACTAAATAGACTACAAAAAGGACACTTAAGAGTGAGCAAAAAGAATATCACCTTGTATAACCTCAGCTGGGAACAATGGGAGTCAGGCAACTCAAATTTTTGCTTACATGTACATATCCACAAATGACCATAAAGGTGAAAAATTTTGTATGGCAGGCAGTATCATAGAACTGAATGAATAAATAATGAATGAATAATAAATAATAAAATAAATAATTAATGAATAATAAAAATAAAAGCATCTAAAAACTCAAACTTGCATCCTCCTAATTAGCAATCATAACGCCACATTTCAAAATTCTAGTTAGAGCATGTAGTAATAAAATGAACAACTTACCAGACTCCCTGAGAATGTTATGAGCCTCAAAGTCAGCTTGGCGTAAAGTACTGAGCACCCCTGTTGTCAAGAAAGTGGGAGTGACATCTGTAGGGGGTTCTTTAACTGGTGGGCCAAATATATAGACAACTCTAGAAGGGGAGGTGAAAATTATAGAGAAATGACAATTTAGTAGAAGAAGCAAGGAACATAGACTACCATTCTTTCCATTAATTCAAGGAACATAGACTACCATTCTTTCCATTAATTCTGAGGCCCCTCTCTTACCCACTTTAAATCACCACATGGGTAAGACAGGATATAGGATTATATATATAGGGGTGCCTGAGTGGCTCTGGCATCTGACTTTGGCTCAGGTTATGATCTCAGGGTCCTGGGATTGAGCCCTGCATCACGCTCCATGCTCAGTGCGGAGTCTGCTTGTCCCTCTACCTCTCCCTCTGCCCCTCCCCCCACTCATACTCACTCACTCTCTCTCAAATAAAATCTTAAAAATAAGATTATATACTTTTTTTTGAAAGAGAGCATGCACATGTCGGGGGGGGCGGTGGTGGAGCAGAGGGAGAGAATCTTAAGCAGGTTCCACACCCCGCGAATAGTCTAACACAGAGCTCGATCTCACAACCCTGAGATAATGACCTGAACCAAAATTGAGAGTCAGACGCTTAACTGACTAAGCCATCCAGGTCCCCCAGGATATAAGATTATAGAAGGGTCTGTGTTCTTGTGTACCTTCTTGAAAGTGTATTCTTTGGAAAAATAGTATCTCAGAGTATACAAAGATATATGTGATTATCACAATCCTCTTTTCATATGATGTACTGGATTGATACATATCCCCCAAACTTCATGTCCATCTGGAATCTATAGGTGAAAATAGGGTCTTTGCAGATGTAGTCAAGTTAAGATAAAGTCATAATGGATCAGGGTAGGCAAAAATCTTTGAAGGTGTCCTTCTAAGAAGAGGAAAACTTGGAAACAGACAAAATAGAGAGGGCCATGTGAAGATGGCAACAGAGACTGGAGTTATACTGCCACAAGCCCAAGATTGCCAGTAAACGCCAGAAACTAGGAAGGGTCAAGGAAGGATCCTCCCCCAGAGCCTTATGCCATAGAGAGCGTGGCCCTGCTAACACCCTGACTTTAGACTTCTAGCCTCTAGAACTGCGAGAGAATAAATTTGTTTTAAGCGTCCTGGTTTGTGATAATTTGTTATAGTACCCCTAAGAAATAAATATACATAAGCCTGGGGAAACACTGAGTTGAACAAATAAATAGGTTGTTTTATGCCAGAACTTCAGAAACTATATGTTAATATGCACTAGAAACCTCGAAGATAAGGCTACAGTGCATTTCCTAAACTTATTTGACTAAATTCTTTTTCACTTTGCAAAACACTGATCTCAAAGATTGATTCTCATTTCCCCATTATTAAAAATGTTACCAAAATAGAACTTGATATCCTACTATTTGCTCCTAAAAGGAATAACTCACTACTTCTTAAGTAAACATCTGTTTGAAAGATAGGAAGATGCACTGCAGGCGTTAATAAAAGTAACTTTAATAAAAGAACACAGCTTGAAGAAATTAGGATCAGATAATTACAACTCAAGAGAAATCCTACCACTGGTTGGGAGGATCTGTTCCACAACCTTCACCCAGAAAACAAGGGGCAGTCAGGATATAGGTATGAATGCATCCTACCTCTCCCGACTTGGACTCCAACCAGGTCCCAACTAACTGTCCCCTTTCCCTAGCCCTATCTGTCTTAACCAAAGAAAATGCATCTCTCTTGGCAACTTCCATGGTGAAGTTTAATAATGCTTTTTTCCTTTTTCTTAATATGTACTTGGAATAAAAACATACAGAAGAAAACAGCATCAGATCAAAACCAAACTACCACCAACTAATTCATTGCCTCCTCCCAAACATACATATAGCAAGTTTTTGTCCCATGTATCAAATACCACACTTCTTTTTTTTTTTTTTAAATCAGTTGCATTTTTTTTTTCCTCAAAGATGTTATCTATTTATTTGACAGAGACAGAGATAGTGAGAGCAGGAGCACAAGCAGCGGGAGTGGGAGAAGGAGAGCAGGCTTCCTGCCGAGCAGGGAGCCTGATGTGGGACTTGATCCCAGGACCCTGGGACCATGACCTGAGCCAAAGGCAGCCGCTTAACCGACTGAGCCACCCAGGTGTCCCTCAAATACCACACTTCTACTAAACAATACAGTCCCTAGAGTTCATAAATGATCCTTCGAGGAAAAATCAACTAGGAAAAAGAATGCCATGAACTCGCTCTTTTTGTCTTATTTCTTACAAATAAGAGTGTTCCTAGAATGTACAGGAATAAGTACTCTTTCACATTGTACAGGACAGTAAAACTGGAGTGGACACTCTCTATACAAAGAGTCCACAATGCAAATTAAGAAAAAATTTGGCAAAAATAGAAAAAAATGTTTTAACTGTTTAAATTCCAATTCCCAAAACAGACCCTGGCAAGGAAATCTAAAATTCACCAAGACTCTTAAAGGCTTGCTAGGTTCATATTTTAAAAATCTATTTTTTGTTTGTTGGTTGTTAGACTTTATTTTTTTTGCAGGGGGGAGGGACATTCGGGAAAGGAGGGAGGAGCAAATGAGGGAAAAAGAAAACAGGCAGAGAAACCAGCATATAAAAGGACAGATAAAGCTTAAGCAAGGGTGAGGGACCTGTGGCAAAAGAAAAAGAGAGAGGGAGATGAAACTAATAATGTTGTGAAATGAAAAACAGAAGCAGTTGAGTCAAACTTAGGGAAAGGGAATGTTCTCTATGACTAAAAAGTTTATTTAGACATTAAGCATTCTCTAGAAGATAGATAATGAACCATTATTTTAACCAAGGCAATTATCTCCATTCAAAATAGGTGATTACAAATTTACCATTATTTATTAATAATTCACTCTTTTCAGTATATTGATGGTGCTTCTCTATCTGCAAGCCTTAGATTCATCACCGTAATAATATTAGCCTTTTAGTGGGCATGTTCCCACCAGTAAAAAACTGGCTTCCCTCTGACTCCTTTCTCAAAGGACATATCAACAGGCAGTTCTAGAACTATACACACCCTCCTGGGTGAACACCAATAGGTAGGTTCCTAATTCCTGCAGCAAACTTGAGTAAACTGAAACCTCAAGTAATTCTTTTTGGTTGTTAATTGCTTAATACTCATGAAGAAAATGAAAAAAGAGTAGACAATGGTGAAACTAGAACATCTAATCAGCAATCTGGTAGATTTTTTTGAACTCTATATGGGACACTGCAATGGACCATTACACAAAGATTATAAATCAGTTGTTGATATATCCAACATTAGAATTACCATGCAAGTGAAAGAAAAACTGGATCTGAAAAAAATAAATTCAAAATAAATCCCACATGTAGTTATTTTAATGATATCTGGCATACGCCTATTTCTTTTCTGTGATTTCTCCTGGGATTATTACTAAATTAACCAAGTCTCTATTGGTAATTCTATAACTCATACATATTCCTTCCAGTAGAAGAAATCCTGGAAGAAAACATATTACCATAAAACCAACAGCTAGCATAAGCTCCTAATTTGGAAGACAGGTTTTAAAAGTGCCTTTAATATTTAATACTTAATAAAAAAAATCCTTCCTATTTTTTGTTTAAACAAGAGCAAAAAGTTTTTTAATAAGCAGATGATGGCACTGTGATGAAGGAACAAAACACAAGGTATTATTAAGTATCTGCTCAATTGTTACCTATGTGCATGCCTGTATCTATACTTTTGAGTCTTTGGTCTCTCAAAAGTGGGAAGATCTTAAAAAATACACCCTTCCGTTTCACCTCACCCCTTGTCCCCTGCAGAACATACCTGTTAATGTTGTGACACATGCGAGGTATAAGTCTAGCCAGGAAAATAAGAGATTCCCAGTCAGGCTCATCTTTACTGGAGATGCCACACACATAACTATAGGAACGACAGTCACCCTAAAAAAACAAAAAAAAATACAGTCAATAATTTTTAATGGTTTTATAAAAGCCAAAAGATGGACTGGAAAATATTCCATGCATGGTAACCCCAATAATAATTTCTTTGTTTTTTTTAAACAAAAACATGTTTGAATAAAAGTATATACAAATATTTCTCTAATGATATAAACTCTAAATTAAAATCCCATATTAAATTCTATCTAAATCAGTTCAGACACAAAGTGTTGTGGAAATTTTAAAATTTTATTCAACACATGCCAGAGGCCCACTGGGGTTTCATTCCAAGCATCCGCACAAATGTATATAGCCAGCACACCTAATTTGGCAGACAAGACCTGCCCATGTTTTACCTCAACATAATAAAGGCTATATATGAAAAACCCACAGCTAACATCATGCTCAATGGTGAAAAGTGAGAGCTTTTCCTCTGAGAGCAGGAACAAGACAAGGATGTCCACTCCTGCCACTTTTATTCAATGTAGTACTGGAAGTCCTGACTACAGCAATCGGAGAAGAAAAAAAATAAGAGCTATCAATAGTGGTAAAGAAGTTAAGCTGTCACTATTTGAAGACAACGTGATGCTACACATAGGAAATCCTAAGGACTCCACCAAAAAACTACTAGAAGTAATAAATGAATTCAGTAAAGTTGCAGGATACAAAATGAATACCCAGAAATCAGTAGCATTTCTATACACTTAAAATGAAAAAGCAGAAAGAGAAATTAAGAATACCATTTACAATTGTGCCAGAAAGAATTACATACCTAGAGATAAACTTAACCAAGAAGTACAAGACCTGTAACTCTGAGAACTATAAAACGCTGATGAAAGAAACTGAAGAGGACATAAACAAATGGAAAGATATAATTCTATGCTCATGGATTAGAGGAATTACTATTGTAAAATGTCCATACTACCCAAAGCAATCTACACATTCAATGAAATCCTTATCAAAATACCACCAGCATTTTTCACTAGAACAAATAATACTAAAATCTGTACGGAACCACAAAAGACCCTGGATAGCCAAAGCAATCTTGAGAAAGAAGAACAAAGCTAAGGTATTACAATTACAGATTTCAAGATAAACTATAAGGCCATAGTAATCAAAACAGTATGATACTGGCACAAAAACAGACACATAGATCAGTGGAACAGAGTAGAGAGCCCAGAAATAAACCCACACTTACATGATCAATTAATCTATGACAAAGGAGGCAAGAATATACAATGGGGAAAAAGTCTTTTCAATAAATGGTACTAAGAAAGCTGGACACCTACATGTAAAAGAATAAAACTGGACCACTTTCTAACACCATTCACAAAATTAAACTCAAAATGGATTAAAGATCTAAATGTGAGACCTGAAACCACAAAAATCCTAGAAGAGAACACAGGCAGTAATTTCTCTGGTATTAGCCATAGTAAACATTTTTCTAGATATGTCTGAGGCAAGGGAAACAAAAGCAAAAATAAACTATTGGGACTACACTGAAATAAAGTTTTTGCACAGTGAAGGAAACCATCAACAAAACCAAAAGGTAACCTACTGAATGGGAGAAGATATTTGCAAATGATATATCCAATAAGGGTTTAATATCCAAAATATGTGAAGAACTCACACAACACCAAAAACCCAAACACTCCAATTAAAAAACGGACAGAGGACCTCAATAGATACTATTTCAAAGAAGACCTACAGATGGCTAAAAGACTCATAAAAAGAGGCTCAACATCACTATTCATCAGGGAAATGCAAATCAAAACCACAATGAGATATCCCCTTATACCTGTTAGAATGGCTAGTATCAAAAAGACAAGAAATAAGTGTTGACAAGGATGTGGAGAAAAAGGAACCCTGGTATACTGTTGGTGGGAATGTACAGCAACTGTGGAAAACAGTTTCTCAAAAAATTAAAAATAGAAATGCCATATGATTCAATAATTCTGTAATTCTACTAATGGGTATATACCCAATGAAAATGAAGAGATTAAGTCGAGGGCGCCTGGGTGGCTCAGTTGGTTAGGCGACTGCCTTCAGCTCAGGTCATGATCCTGGAGTCCCGGGATCGAGTCCCGCATCGGGCTCCCTGCTCAGCAGGGAGTCTGCTTCTCCCTCTGACCCTCCCCCCTCTCATGCTCTATCTCATTCTCTCTCTCAAATAAATAAATAAAATCTTAAAAAAAAAGAGATTAAGTCGAAAAGATACATGCACCTCTATGTTTACTGCAGCACTTTTTTTTTTTTTAAAGATTTTATTTATTTATTTGAGAGAGAGAGAATGAGAGACAGAGAGCATGAGAAGGAGGAAGGTCAGAGGGAGAAGCAGACTCCCCGCTGAGCAGGGAACCCGATGCGGGACTCGATCCCGGGACTCCAGGATCATGACCTGAGCCGAAGGCAGTCGCTTAACCAACTGAGCCACCCAGGTGCCCTACTGCAGCATTATTTACAATAACCAAAGTATGTCCATCAACAGATGAATGGATAAGGAAGATGTGATATGTACACACGTACACACAGAGAGAAAATATTATGCAGCCATAAAAAAGGATGAGATTTTTGTTTTGTTTTGTTTTGCCATTTGCAAAACATGGATAGACCTAGAGGATATTATGCTAAGTGAAGTAAGTCTGACTGAGAAAGACAAATACCGTATGATTTCACTCATATATGAAACCTAAAAACCAAATAAACAGCTGAATCAGACCTATGAATACAGGAATAAACTGATGATTATCAGAGGAAAGGGGGGTGGGAGGATGGGCAAAATGGGTGAAGGGGGAGAGATACAAGCTTCCCGTTAGAAGTTAACTAAGTCACAGGAATAAAAGCCACAACATAGGGAATACAGTCAATGATTTTATAATAGGGATGTATGGTGACAGATGATAGCTACACCTATGGTAACAAGCATAGTATAACATATAGAGAAGTTGAATCACTATGCTGTACATTTGAAAATAACGTAACATTGTGTGTCAATTATACTCACACACACACACACACACACACACAACTATTAAAATGAAAAAAGATCTACCCATGTTTATTAGGTGGATATTCTTAAGTATTCTTAAGTCAGAGATAAAAATAATTTCATAAACATTTACTATAAATTTCTTTAAAAATGAACCACTGAAAGTTAACTTAAAAATAAAAGAATAAAACGTAATATTGATTCCCTTTCCCTTTGTCCTTTTTATTTTTTTTAAAGACTTATTTATTTGAGAGAGAGAGAGAGCACAAGCAGGAAGAGCAGAGGGATAAAGAATCTCAAGTAGACTCTTCGCTGAGTGCAGTGCCCAACACAGGGCTCGATCTCATGACCCAGAGATCATGACCTGAGCTGAAACCAAGAGTAGGATGCTTAACCAACTGCACCACCAGATGCCCCTCCTTTGTCCTTTTTAACCCAAGTGATTTGCTTAAAAAATTAAAAAAAAAAAAGTTAAACTAAAATAAGCAATTTAAAAAGATTCATTAGCTAACTACCTACCAGCCACTATACTGAGAATATGAGAATTCAGATTATATGAATGCTAACTTGATAGTATCTATCAAAGTTTAAAGTGTACATGTTCCTAATTTAGGACATGATCTTACAGAAGCATGAATAACTGCTTGAAGAATAAGATATTACTTGCTGAAATGCCTATAATAGTGAAAAGCTGAAATAGTTTAAATGTCCACTGGTAGGGAAATGATTAAACTATTGTATAACCATACATGGAATACAAGGCAGTAGTTAAGAATAATCTACTTGTAATGGCACGCAAAGATAAGAAATTCATGTCATCAAGTTTAAAGGAAAAAGATGACAATACACATCTATAATTCCTTTTCTTTTCTTTTTAAAATTAGTGTTTCTGGAAGGACACATACAATACAACTGGAGAATAGGCAGAGGGAAAATTATCCTAAATGTACTGAATTTTTTTTTTTTACAAGTATGGTTTATTTTGGTATTTAGAAAATAAGTTTCATCGCTATACTAACCACTAATTATGATTTTTTTTCTGGGCTTCCAAGGGTCTCACCTTCAAAAGCATAAAAGACTAGAATAAAGTAAGATATCTAACAACAAAAAAAACTTTTACTTTGATGGTAAAAGTAGTGGAGCCTGAATAAGCTTCATTTTTAAAGAAGTCATTCATCTAACAAATTGCCTCAAACACCTATTCATCTAACATTATTACCTATAATAATTATCTAAGGAGGGGAATGGGGAACTAATTCAACTTCCCACCTAGCAGGAGTTAGTATAGAGTTGGAAGTCCTCTGTAAGAGATCTACTTAGGACTGGAAAAACTTTTACAAATCAAATAACTTATCTGTCCTTCTATTTTTATGTAGTAGGAGAATATCTGCCTGTAAGTATCATAGCATAAATTTCAAAATGAATCTGTGTATGATAACCAAATACCACTGAAAGAAAATTATTTCTACAATTCCAGAAAGGCTTATTTTAATAGTGATTTAAAAAGAATATACATAGCTTTCACATATGGCCTTTAAAAAGGGGGGAAGAGGGAACAAGTTCAAAATAACTGGACCTGCGTTGGTGGTATAGTGGTGAGCATAGCTGCCTTCCAAAATAACTGGACCTATCATTTCCATGAACTAAAATACTTTGAAGACAACAATGAATTTTTATTGCCTCATTTACAGACAGAGCTACATGGATTCAGGAGAAGGAGGAATTTAAATTGATGACTCAACTTCATGTATTTAGGAAAAAAAGTATACTTACTAAGTTTCAGATGAATAATCTCTAAAACAGAGTTAATTTCTTCCCACACGTAAGGAAGGCCCAATAACTGGCATTCATACCATTTTGAGTTGAATTGCTGACACTTTTTCTAGTTTTCATTTAACTAAAAGCCCTAACAGAATAGAAACTTTCCTCTTCCCTACCCTCCCAAGCTTTTCCCCAGAAACTCACTTGAGGATCATATAAAGGAGAATTAATATAATCTATTTATAAATAACATTTTAAAAAGTGAAAACTATATTATCCTCACATGCTTTTACAAATAGAAAAACAGAAGAATAAATACAAAAATGTTAGTTGTACATGATTACAGCTAAGAAAGAACATGTTGAAGATGCAGAGAGCACTGGGTTTAAGGAATACACAAGCTGAGAGCCCAGACTTAAATAGTGTAACATGTTCATCTGGGGGCCTTGCACTGAACACTTCTAAAGTCACAGTACACTTTCACACCAAGAAGCACACATAAGGACAGGACTTCCTGGTACCTGCCCTTCAAGGCAGAAGCAAGCAAGTCAACCCTACAGCAAACCATTGTTTGAATATTTACTTTTGGTTGGAGAAGACAGATGTTCCCAAACTACAAAATCTCAGCCTGAATTTTCAGTTCCTATAACCTTATTCACTCCATGAACACTCTATAAAGTACCACCTTTTTACATTTCCAAATGTGGTGTATATACTTTCATATTTCATTTTCCTAAGTCGTTCCTATTTCAATATTAGTGGAAAGAATAAACTGCAAAAAGTTACGTTACAGATCAATGAATTCACACAACTCACCTGCACACCTACAGTTTTAATTGGCAACAGGAAGGCATTCAATGAATGCAAACTTGTAATTTGCATCAGCTTCTCCTGATCCTCTTCCGTTGTACAAGCTTTGACTCTTTGTAATAGTGTATGTGGCTGAGAAAACCAAACAGACATTTCTTAAGATTTCAAGAAATAAGGTATTCTTTTGGTATTTATTACTGTCTTATGCATCTACACTTACTGGTTTACAGCAATAGATCCTATTTGATATTTGACTTGTGTGTGCTATGTAGTACATCAGAATTTCACTCCTGAGGGCCAGGGCTATGAGAAGTATCCGGGTAAGAAACACAGATTATATTTGTATACTTCGGGGATTTAATCCTGTCAGCAGCAAGGGACATATGTCGCATGAGTTAAACCTTTTCCTTATAATAAAACCTCTTACCATAAAGTCACTTTTGTCTAAAATTAATATGTCTCCACCAACTTCCCTTTTTTGGTGTATTTGTCTGGTATATGCTCTTCCATTCTTTTACTTTCACTCTTTCTATCCTTAGGTAAACAGGCTGTAATTAGATTTTACTTCTCAATCCAGTTTGACAATCTATGTCATAACTGGAGATGTTAGTCCTTTTAATTAATTGTGGGTTAATAATATGGTTGGATTTCATGCTACCATTTTATTCAGTAGCCTCTATTTGTCCCAGTTTTTAGGTTTCTTTGTCTTTTCTTACATTTTTCTAAACTATTTGTCCCAGCTCATTTATTTCCCTTCTACTGGTTTTGAAGTTAAACCCTATATTTTTCTTCTTTTAGTAGTTCCCCCTAAGTGTTAACATGGATACTTAACAGAAGAGAATCAATCTCTCTGTCCCCCTAGCAAACAATACAAGTATCTTTGAATGCTTTAACTGCAATCAATTTCCTGTGGCTTATATGCTATTTTAGCTGTATATTGTTATAATATTTTTAAACAAACAAAAATTTGAGATTATTTTTATTATACAGCCCATGTTTGTTTCAGGCTGAGAACCACTGCCTTTAGTTCCTTAAGTAATGGACTATTGGTAATAAATTCTGTTTATCTAAAAATGTCTTCATTTGCCCTAGTTCTTAGAAGACAGTTCATCTGTTCACTATTCACAATTATTTTCTCATGGCACTCTGAAATCTTCTTGTTTTTCCTGTGCTTTCAGTATAATAGTCTTTCCTTCAAAGGATAAACCATCTTTCTTCTGTAGCTGTTTTGTCTCTGGCAGTCTGCAGTTTTGATAGGTATGCCTACTAGGTGTCAATTTGTTTTTTCATCATCCTAAATGAGATGTGTTACATTTCCTGAATCTGAGCTATGGTGTCTTCACCAGTGTGGACGAATTCAAATACTTTTGTCTTTTATCTCCCCCTGGACATATGTTAAAATTGACCTTTTCATTCTATTTTAACCTCTTCTCTATATTTTCTCTTTGATGCTTTGTTCCGATTTCTGGAAAATTTCTTAACATCTGTTTTTGAGTTCATTACTTCTTTCTTTAGCTGTTTTTAATTTCAGTTATTTTCATTACTAGAACTTAATTTTTTTCAAAGCTGCCCAAGTCATTTTGATAGTCTTTTACCATATACCTTATTCTCATTATCAACTGCTTCTTTTAATTCTACGTACTTTACACTAACTACAGTATCTGAAGTGTTTGAGGGTCTTGTGCCAGTTTTTTCCACTAGCTCTCATTCATGTTACCTTACTTCTATATATATTTTTCAATATTTTAAGTTCATATATATTTATTGGAACTGTATATGTGGAGATCTTTTAAGGCCTTAAGACAATCCCAGAAAGAGTTTACATTGCTAAGCCTGACACCTGGAAGCACTACCAACCAAGGTCCGCTTTAAATTCTTAGCTTGAAGTTTTTCAGACCACAAAGATTATAAATTTAGGCACCAACTCTACAGAAGGACTGGGAGACTTTTACATTCATCCTTAGTTTGGAGTAAAAATGTTTTCCCTTATTTTCTTGCAATACATATAAAATATATTTTTTAAAGATTTTAAGTAATTTCCACACCCAACATGGGGCTCAAACTCATGACCCCAAGATCAAGAGTCACAAGCTCTACCAACTGAGCCAGCCAGGCACCCCTAAAATATTTTTAAACACCCCTTCATATCTAGAATTTTTAGGGATTCAAGGTATCTTATCTGTTGTAAGGCTAAAAAGGTAAGTCTACAAGTCTCTGTAGAATATTTTCTGTATAGTCATTTAACATGTTAAATTACCCTAAATTTTAAGAAAATGAAATTCTAATAAATTCATTGTAGATACTAGAGTACTACAAGAATCCATTCAATTCCTTATACTGATGAGCTATGTCTATTTAAAGCTCCTGTTAATATACAAATTCAATGCAAATTATTACCTTCTTAACACTTGCAGAAAAATCAGCTACTATTTTCAAAATATTGTTGGTTTCAGGAAAGTCCTTACAAATGTAAGGTTCTTCAGCACATATTACTCTGATTGCCAGGCCAGGACCTAAAGAGAACCATAACAATGGTATTTAATATAAATTTTATATTTAAATATAAAAATACAAGTTTCCAAATATAAAATCCTTCCAAAAATTAAAATCCATTGGTCATTTTAAGGTTTTTCCAGTTTTACTGAGATATAACTGACACATAACCATTGTAAGCTTATTTTTTTTTTAAGATTTATCTATTTGAGACACGGGGAGGGACAGAGGGAGAAAACCCCAGGCAGACTCCCTGTCAAGAACAGAGACCAACTGGGGGGGCTGATCCCACGATCCCAAGACCATGACCCAAGCCGAAACCAAGAGTGGGAGACCCAACCAACTGAGCCCCTCCACTTCAAGTTTTTTTAAGTCTTTTATTTCAAATGTAACTATTAGTTTCCCATCCAACTCACCATTTTTTAGAATGCTTTAGTTCTCTTTACATCAATGATTTCTATCTCCTATTTTTGGTAGCCCATGTATTAAGTGTCACAAAATTCTCCAATAAATATTAATTCACAATATATGCACCCATCTTTTTTAAACTTATTAAAGGAATTTTTAAATATATAGAAAAGTAAAGAGGACAGTGTAATGAACCACCTTATTATTCATCACCCATGTTCAACTACCAATCTAATTTAGGAAGAAGAATATGCTGTTTAAAAAAAAAAAGTACAACAGTGTTTAATTCCAAAAATGCAAACTGGTATTTCTATTTTACCAAATACTTAAAAGGATGAAAACATAAGGTATGCGTGGATCTAAAAAAAAATGGATTCTGCTTCTTTACTATAACAGAAAAGGTATCCTGTGAGATACTTGGTTATAGACAAAACCTTAGCCATGTTCCATTAATTCCTCAGTTTCATTCTTCATCTGTAGAATAAACAGCTTATTTAAAGTAAGTAGTATGCCTTATTTTTTTAAAAGCACCAAAATATTTTTTACCAAAGAAATCTTACACAATGAAAAATATCCAATATATAAATAGACTTTTAAAAGTCAAGTGACTCTAGTGCAATGATGACCAAGGACACAGGACCACTTGGCTCCCTCCATTACATTCAAACACAATCCTTTGCCAATACACAGGTTAGAGACTGAACATCTTGAATTCCCAGATTTGAAGTTTATTAATACAAATAGCGCTAATCACCACGAGTTATACCTTTGTGAGATTGCGTATAAGACCAATATGATATTTAAGAATACAAGTTCTGAGGTGAGACAGTCAGGGCTAGAATCCCAGCTCCAAACCTAATCTGCATTAACTTTTGGCAAATTAGGCTCTGTTCCCAAAATTTCCTCATCTATAAAGCAGAATAATGGTAGTTTTATTGTGAGGATCAAATAAGACAGTTGTAAAATATTTAGCAGAATGCCTAGCACACACTAGTATTTAAGAATTGTTAACTTGGGCGCCTGGGTGGCTCAGTTGGTTAAGCAACTGCCTTCGGCTCAGGTCATGATCCTGGAGTCCCGGGATCGAGTCCCGCATCGGGCTCCCTCTGACCCTCTTCCCTCTCATGCTCTCTGTCTCTCATGCTCTCTCTCTCAAATAAATAAATAAAATCTTTAAAAGAATTGTTAACTTTTACTATGCTTAATTAGACCATTCTCTCGACTCATCACCTAATGACTACTATAAAGAACCAGAAACTGAGGTACAAGACTTACCCAAGCTCAAGAACTTCTAACAAAAACAGTTTAAGACTCTCAGTCCTAACTTTAAATAAATACCACCTTCAGTTAGTTATTTTTCTATATGACAGGAGCAAATGACTATTTAAACTGAGTATGTTTTATTTGTTCATGAATTCGTTACATACAGCCCTATGCAAAGAAGTAATTCATTCAGATAAGTAGTCAACCATAGGATTAGGATTGCAGAGAACCACGTTTTAACCTTGTCTTCCATGGAAGGCATCATGGTATAGTAGAAAGAACATATAAATTGCAGCTCTAACACTAAGAATTGTATGGCAATGTGGGGTACGTGGGTGGCTCAGTTTAAGCATCTGACTGATTTCGGCTCAGGGTTGTCAAATCAAGCCCCATGTTGGGCTCTGCACTGGGTGTGGAGCCTGCTTAAGATTCTCTCTCCCTATCCCTCTGCCCTTCCCCCTGCTGGCATTCATGCTCACTCTAAAATAAATAAATAAAATCTTAAAAAAAAAAAAAAAAGAATTGTGTGGCAATGTTATTAAAATACCTCTATACCTTGTTTTTCTCATCTGATGGCAACATTATAGGCCAGACTCACTGGGGTGGTGTAATATTTAAATATAAATACAATGGAAAATAATTATGTAAGAAAACGAAGTATATACAATAGATATTAAGAAGAATTTTGTTCCCTACCCACACTTTCCTTTCTCTAAAGTTACATATTCCGAGATAAAAAGTTATTTCAAAACTGTCTGAATTGATTTTTCTTCAACATGAAAGTCTAATGACAAATTGAGCAATTCCTTTTTTTTTACCTGGAAATGGATGCCTGGAAACTAACTCTTCTGGAAGTCCAAGTTCTCTCCCTAAAATTCTTACTTCATCCTTATGAAAATCTTTCAGAGGTTCTATTACTTTTCCCTACAGAGGGAAAAAGCCAATTAATACAAATTAGTAATGAAAATGACATGGAAAATAAAGAATAACATATCATTGGCCTTTCCTGTTGATTTTTTAATCTAAGGTGAAAGACATTTCTTAAAATTTCGTATCTTAAACTATCTTCTCCCATGTGTCGTAAGGAATTAGATGAATATTTTACTGATCTTCATACTTCTCTTTGAAACACATTTTAAACATAAACCTTTCAAATATAAATAAATCAGAGCAGTCCTACCCACCATCTCTGATCTAGTTCTCATTAGAATACAAGGCAATTAGAAAACATCATACTAGTGTTTCAAAATTAAAGCTCTCCAAATGATACCATGAAGTGAAAAGACAACCTACTCCTATTTGATAAAGGACCTACAGACAACTACTCCTATTTGATAAAGGACCTACAGAGTGTATAAAGAACACTTACAATTCAGTAATAAAAAAATAAATAAACCAATTAAAAATGTGCAAAAAATCTGAACAGATATTTCTAAGAAGATATACAAATGGCCAATAAGCACATGAAAAGATGCTCAACATCATTAGTTTTATTAAGAAAATGCAAATCAAAAGCACAATGAGATACCACTTCACATCCACTAAGATGCCTAAAATAAAGACAGGTAGTAGCCATCTTAATGAGTGTGAATTACAAAAAAAAAAAAAAGAGAGAGAGAAAATAACAATTGTTGGCAAGGTGTGGAACATTGTTGGTGGATTATAATATGATATAACTGCTTTGGAAACATTAAGAAGTCCCTTTTAAAAATTAAAAATAGAACTACCATGGGGTGCTGGCTGACTCAGTCAGTAGAGCATACAACTCTTAATCCTGGTGTTTTAAATTCAAGCTCCATGCTGAGTGTAGAGATTACTTAAAATCTTACAAAAACAAACAAACAAAAACTACCATATGATCCAGCAATACTGCTGCTTGTATATAACAAAAAAAACCAAAAACCAAAAAACAAAAAACCTGAAAGCAGGGTCTCCAAGAGATATCTGCCAACTCATGTTCATAGCAGCACAATTCACAATAGCCAAAAAGTAGAAGCAACCCAAATGTCCATTAACAGATAAATGGATAAACAAAATGTGTATATACATACAATAAATTATTATTTAGCCTTAAGAAGGAAAGGAAATCCTCTCACATGTTACAACATGGATGAACCTTGAGGACCTATGCTAAATGAAATAAGCCAGTCACAAAAAGACAAATGATTTCACTTTTATAGGGTATCTAAAGTAGTCAAATTCATGGAGACAGAAAGTAGAATGGTGGTTACCAGGGGTTGGGAAGAAGAAGAGAGTAGCTGTTGTTCAAGGGATATAAAGTTCCAGTTTTACAAGATTAATAAGTTATGGAGATCTGTGTCACAACAATGCAAATATACTTAATATTACTGAACTATCCATTTAAAAATGGTTCAGGGAGAGGGGGAGGGAGAAAGGCTTTATGGCAAAGTTCTCATAAGCTTTTACCTCTTCTCTCAACTTTCTGATAAGCTCTGTGTCATTGTGATGAGTTTTGATGAGTTCAGCTTTGCCACTTGCAACAAGGGATGCACTTTCAATTAAATCAGGCCGTAAAGTACCTTGGGCAAGGAAAACCTCCTCCGGTTTCAGGTTCATTTCTCCAATTACTTCATTGGCAATCTATAACCAAGAGGAGTAAAACAGCCTTTTAAAGAGATCAATCTTTAAAAAAAGATAGCAGTCTTTTTTATTTATACTTTCGACAAGATTTCTCAGAATCCTTTTGCAATACTGACCAAGAGATAAAATCCACACCAACTCCCAAAGTAAACTCTTTTAAGAACATGTGCTTTAGAAAGATTCATAAAGATAAGCAAACATTCAAGAGCCTGAAAACTAGCCATTGAAATACTCAAAGAACTAAAAAGTCTAATATCAACTGAAACACCTATTCTTAAAATAGTTAAAATAAAAGCCTGGCAACGTAAGTATATGTATTTTTTAAAAACAAGTCAGTATAATAGTAACATACACTAAAATTCTTAATCAAAAAAAAAAAATCAAAATTAGCAAATTTGATTATTTCATATAAGGACAAGGAAAAACAAATACTAAAATTCACATCAAAAATAGTACACATTGTGGATATTAAAAAGGTACCTTAACAAAAGTATCACCAATAATTTTTCTTTTCTCTTCAGGACTTGTTGTCATATTTAATGTTTTGCTAATTCTTTTTCGTGGAGTTCTATCTTCATCTGATATTGGTAGAGTTGTTGTTCCGTTGTAGAAAGAATGAGCAGCATTTATCACTGAGAAAGAGAAGAGAAGCACATTTTAAAACTAACAGAAGATTTTAAAAAACGTAAATAATGGGTCAAACTACAGAAAGAAAACCTAGATCGATCTTTTACCTTTTATCTTTTATCTTTTACCTTGGCTACATATTACAGAACTACCAATAAACCACGATTAATAGAGTCCAGACACAGGAACTTACTAAATTTTGTTTTTTTGAGAATCCTGTGGCATTTAGTAATCTAAGGCCATAATATCATACATTATGCTGGTTGCTTTCCTGTATTCAGTGCCCCACCAGAACAACAAGCAAAAGCCAAAGGAAGAAGCATAGCCCCAAGGGAACTAACTAAAAGTAGTGGTTCATATACAGGGATCAAAATCCTCCAAACTGCACACTGAATTAAACAGTCTCTTGAAAAACTGATGTTTATCAGCATACATTTAGCAATCACTGGCTATCCTTTTATTTTTAAAGAGCAAGGTACTTAAAAACTTACTAAGATCTCTATTTGGTAGTAAGGCTGAACAACTGGTGAACCTCACTGAAATACAGCTGGCTATTTCACTGCGGGACACCAGTGAATTTGTAGCTCTTTCTCTTAAACTGGTCAATTGCCCCAGAAAAGACACCTCCAATCTCCTGCCTATCAGCACTCTGATAACGAAACACCAGAAGGCAGGGAGAGAGTCACCATTCAGTATACAGATTTTTGCTTCACCCTACTGTTTCTAATGTAGAATCTTATTTCCACCCTCAACTATGCCTGGTATTGATATGCCCAAATCCAAAGTTTCTTTTATGTAGCCTCTCTAGAGAATAAGTCCACAGTCTTCCCATAGGGAGGGATAGCAGCAATTTATTCCTGTGTTAAGGAAAAGAATCGCCTTCTCAGATTTTCAACCAAACTGTTTTAGGCTCACCCAGAGAACCACACCCCACAGGGAAGCCAATGTTTCCAAATCTTGAGCCTCCCCACAAGTCCTGCTTTTGTTAGTTTCCTCCCCTTAGCAACATTTTACTAGATATGTCTCCTCAGACAAGGGAAAGGAAAGCAAAAATAAACTACTGGGACTACATCAAAATAAAAAGCTTTTGCACAACAAAGGAACCCATCAACAAAATGAAAAGGCAACCAACTGAATGGGAGAAGATACTGCAAAGGACATATCTGATAAGAGATTAATATCCAAAATATATAAAGAACTTCTACAACTCAACAGCAAATACACAAATAACCCAATCAAAAAATGGACAGAGGACCTGAAGAGACATTTCTCCAAAGAAGATATACAAAAGGCCAACAGGTACATAGAAAGATGCTCAATATCACTACTTATTAGGGAAATGCAAATTAAAACCACAGTGAGGTATCACCTCATATCTGTTAGAATGGCCATCACCAAAAAGACAAGAGATAATAAATGCTGGCGAGGATGTGGAGAAAAGGGAATCCATGTGCAATGTTGGTAGGATTGTAAATTGGTACACCCACTATAGAAGAGTTTTGAGGGGCTCCTGGGGGGAGACTCAGTCAGTTAAGTGTCCAACTTGATTTCAGCTCAGGTCATGATCTCAGTGTGGTGAGATTAAGAGTCCCACACTGGCCTCCATGCTCAGCGTGGAGTTTGCTTGAGATTCTCTCTCCCTCTGTCCCCCGGCCCCGCTCACACTCCCTCTCTCTAAAATAAATAAAATCTTTAAAAAAAACAAGTTTTTGGAGGATCCTCAAAAAATTAAAAATAAAACTACCATGTGATCCAGCAATTCCACTTCTGGAGAGATACCCGAAGGAAATGAAAACACACAAAAAGATATCTGCACTCCCGTATTCATAGTAGCATTATTTGCAATAGTTAAGGTATGGAAACAACCTAAGTGTCCATCAATGTATGAATAAAGATGTAGTATACACACACACACACACACACACACACACAGGAAAATTATTCATCCATAAAAAATAAGGAAACCTACCATTTGTGACAACATGCATGGACCTTAAAGGCATTATGTCAAGTGAAATAAGTCAGAGAAAGACAAATACTGTATGATCTCACTTATATGTAGAATCTAAAAAATCAAACTCACAGAAAAAGAGATCAGACTTCTTATCAGAGGTGGAGGGTGAGGAGAAGGGGAATTGGAAGAAGATGGATAAAAGGTACAAACTTCCAGTTACAATATAAATAAGTACTAAGGCTATACTGTACAACATGACAATTATAGCTAATACTGCTGGCTGATACATAGAAAAGTTAAGAGTGAATCCTAAGAGTTCACATCATAAAAATATTTTTCCTTTTTATTGTTCCCATATGAGAAGATTGATGTTAGCGGAGACTACTGTGATAATCCTTTCAAAATATATGCAAAATCTAATCATCATGCTGTAGCCTTAAACTCATACAGTGATGTAAGTCAATTATTTCTCATTAAACTAGAAAAAAAAAGTGACTATGGACTCTCCACTTCTCTTCTCTGTATAAGCCTTTCAGTTTGTAAAATAATCTGTACATCCATATTTGTTGTAGGAAGACTTGGAAATTCTCATACATAAATAATATTATGGATGGGAAAAGATAACTCAAAAAGAGTGAACAAGTAGAAGAGAATAGAATGACAGATGGAATTTCACTGATTTTTTTTATTGATTTGATTTTTTGGAATTTCTATTGATTTCAGTTTTAAAATTTATCCTAGGACCCCTCTTGAACCAGATAATTATAATGTAAAAGTAAAAAACATAATTATAAGTTATTGGGAAACCTGTACTTGTTTGTTTTTTGTTTTTTTTTAAGATTTGAGAGAGTGTGTGTGCCTGTGTGAGCACATAAGAGCAGGGGGTGGGGTCGGGGAATGGGGGCAGAGAGGGAGAGACTCTCAAGCAGGCTCCCCACTCAGTACGGAACAAGAGGCAGGGCTCATTCCCACACCCTTGAGATCATGACCTGAGCCAAAATCAAGAGTCAGACACTCAACTGACTGGGGCACCCAGGCACCTCTAGAAACCTATACTTGGTTAAGACAATGAGCTCACTCAAACCATAACGCTAGATCTGATTTGTTAAATAAGTCCTCACATATAGACTTTTCTGGGGGCTCATCAATACCTTTGACCTGAATTCCAAGCTTTTTGAGGGCTTCTTCTACAGACTGGCTTTCTCGTTTTCTCATAAAGCCATTATCAATGTGCACAGCAATGACTTGATCTTGGTTCAAAGCACGATTCAGCAAAGCTGTACAAACCGTTGAGTCTACTCCACCACTGAGTAAAACCTACAAGGTGAAATTAAAAATCAAGTTGAGTACAATAAACAACAAAAAAATAAAAACTATCAGCTTAAATCATTACCTTTAAAAACACTGATTTTATCAAAGTAGATATGGTAATTGAAAAAGCACTCTGAAACAGTACAACTCACAAAACATCCGATCACCCAGTCAATATTTAAGGGCTATGGTGCTGAAGCCAGCTCTGAGTTCTAGCATTATTGACATAAATTTGTACACTTTCAGATGTAAATTCCTTACCAAAACTTTTGATGTGCCTACTCTTTCTTTGATCTCTCGAATGCACTCAAGTTCTCTGTTCTGCACAGTGAAGGTCCCACTGCACCCAGCTATATCATAGAGGAAATTCTTCAGGATTACTTTCCCATTTTCTGTAAGGCCAACTTCAGGGTGGAACTGTGCTCCGTACAATTTTTTAGATTCATTTGCTATACCTTTAATAGAGAAAATAATCACAAATTAAAAATGTTTTCATGTGGAAGACTCAACTAAGTACCCATAGTAATTCCTCACAATTTCTTCCTCTATAAATACAAAAACTGATACAACTTAGTGCATTTTTAGCTACAGGGGGAAAAAAAATAAATAAATAAAAACTACGTTGCTACAATTTTTCTTTAAAAGTCCTTAGGTAGCAATTAGTGCACTATATAGGACAGTGAAATAAGTCCTACACAGATTACTTCATAGTACTTTCCTTCTCCACCCAGATTACTTTGTCTATTTAATACAATGATAACTCAATTTTGGCTCTCAGTTCCACATGGCTTTCATATGCAATATACTGCTATCAATTTTATGTATTAGAAAAACCTCATGTATTAGGCCTGTCAGAATATTCTATGTATTCCTTTCTTAGATACTATTAACCACAAATGTAACTTCATGGATTTGAGTAATGTGTTTCTGACAAATTATGAATTATTTACTAAGCAAAAGATGATAGGCTACATGTTTTACCTGTGTATGCATTACCCCTGTTTACGGCTCTGAGATATCAAGAAACTTATAGCTGTTTAAGTAGTTAAATCAGGCTGAGCAGGCTCCCAAATTCATACTCATTCTATTATACCACGAAACCTCACATTTTCTTTACTTGGTTCTAGGACACCACTCTCTCTTGGTTCATTTATTTCACTGTCTGCTCCTTCTTAATCTTTGTTGTTTCCTCCTCATCTTATCCATCTCTACACATGAAAGTTGCCCAGTACACAGCCCTTAAATCTCTCCTCTATACATTGAGTGATCTACAACTCTCATAACTTTACATTTTACCCATATGATGGTAAACCCCCAAATTTATACCTCCAGCTCAATTTTCTACTCTACAGTCTAGACTCCTATATACAACTGCATATTCATTCCATTTTTTCTATGTTTAATAAGGCATCTTGAATTTAATCTACAAACTTGAATGACTGCATTCTTTCCTTTCAAGTAAACAGAAACTTCAACTTTCTGGATGGTTGGATCAAAAAACATGGAAGTTAAAACTCAATTATACCCTTTTTTCCCCACTCCAAATGCAATCCAACAGGAACTCCTTAGTCTTTCCATTCAAAACATATCAGAATCCAATCTCATTTAAGAAGATTAAAATCCTATCAAACATCTTTTCCAACCACAATGGTAAGAAACCAGAAATTACAAGAACAAAACTAGAAAATTCACAAATACATGGAGATTAAAAAACATGCTCCTGACAAAGGAATGGGTCAAAGGATAAATCAAAAGAGGAAAAAAAAAAAAAAAACCCAAGACAAATAAAAATGGAAACATAACACCCAAACTTATGGAATGTAGCAAAAATAATTCTAAGAGGGAAGTTTATGGCAATTAATAACTACATCAAGAAAAAAAGATCTCAAATAAACCTAGATTCCACCAAAAAAACCTGTTACAACAAATAAACAGTTTCAGTAAGGCTGTGGAATAGAAAATCAACATACCAAAGTCAGTTGTGTTTCTATAAGTTAAACTAACAGAGAAATTAAGAAAACGTTCCCATTTACAATAGCATTAAAAAGAATGAAATATTTAGGAACAAGCTTAACCAAGGAGGTGAAAGATCTGTATACTTAAAACTCTAAGACAATGATGAAAGAAATTGAAGGCACAAATAAATGAAGAAATATCCTATGTTCATAGATTAGAAGAATATTGTTAAAATGCCCATTCTACCCAAAGCTATATACAGATTCAATTCAATCTCTATCAAAATTCCAATGACTTTTTCATAGAAATAGAAAAAAAGGAATCCTAAAATGTGCATCAAACCACAAAAGACCTCAAAGAGCCAAAGCAATCTTGAGGAAAAAAAAGCAAGAGGCATCACATGTCCTGATTTCAAACTACATTACAAAATGACAGTAATCAAAACAGTACTGTACTGGCATAAATACAGACACACAAACCAAGGAAACATACATACACATATATACACACACACATAATATATACACACTAAATGGAGTATTATTCAGCTTTTAAAGAGAAGGAAATCCTGTCATTTGCAACAACACAGATGAACCTGGAGGGCATTAGGCTAAGTGAATTAAGCCAAAGACAAATACTGAATGGTATTGCTTATATGTAGAATCATAAAAAAAAATAAAAAGTTGGACTCAGAAATAGAGAATGGAAAAGTGATCACCAGGGCCTGGCTGGGGGAAATAGGGAGAGGTGGTAAAAGGGTACAAACTTTCAGTTATAAGATGAATAAAGTCTGAGGACCTAATTAATAATATGGTGACTTATTATGGATAACACTGTATTGTGTAATCTAAATTTGCTAAGAAAACAGAACTTAAGTGTTCTCACACACACAAAAAAAGGCAAATATGTGAGGTGATGGATGTGTCAATTAACTCCATGGGGGAATCTTTTCATTACGTGTACCTATATTAAATCAGCACATTGTATACTTTATAAATACTTTACAATGTTGTCAATTAATCTTAGTAAAGCTAAAAAATTAAATTAAAAAAAGGTTGAGAGAAGAAAAAAAAACTACCAACCTAGAATTCTGTACCCTGAGAAATTATCCTTCAAAAGTGAAGAAAAATACTTTCTCAGACAAGCAAATATTGAAGCTGTTTGTTGCCGGCACATGGGCCTTGCAAGAACGGATAAAAGAATTTCTTTAGAGAAAAGGAAAATGATAAAGGTCAGAAACTTTAGTCTACATAAAGAAAAGAACATCATTCACAGTTCCTGGCTCACAGATCCCAAAACCTTTGGAATTTCTTAAGAGATTAGAGCTTAAAGGTATCTCTCATATTCATAAGGTGACTTTTGGAAAGCACCTAAGGATGGGGGCTGGTTACCAGGGGGAGACAACCATGTGATTAGAGACTTGGAACTTTCAGTCCCAACCTCCTAGACTCCGAGGAGGGGAGAGGGGCTGGAAGATGAATCAATTACCAGGGAGCAATGATTTAATCAACCATGCCTATGTCACGAAGCCTCCATAAAAACCCAAAAGGATGACGTTTGGAGAACTTCCAGGTTAATGAACATGTGCAGTTTGGGGAGAATGGTGCACCTGGAGAGAACATGGAAGCTCCGTGTCTTTCCCCATTCTCTGCCCTATAAATCTCTTCCATCTGGCTCTTCCTGAGTTATATCCTTTTATAATAAACCAGGGATCTAGTGGTAAAATGTTTCTCTGAATTCTGTAAGCCACTCTAGAAAACTAATTGAAACGAGGAAGAGGTCATGAGAACCTCTGATTTCCAGCCAGTCAGTAAGAATACAGGTAACCTGGACCTGTGACTGGTGTCTGAAACCCAAGGAGGGGGTCACTAGAACCTCCAATCTATGGTTGTTCAGTCAGAGGCACAGGTGATAACCTCGGCTTGTAACTGGTGTCTGAAGTGTATGTGGGTAGGGAAGGGGGGTGGTCTTGTGGGATGCAGCCCTCAACCCGTGCAATCTGGTGCTATCTCCAGGTACACGGGGTCAGAATTGAGATGAACTGAGGTGACCGCTCAAATACTATACTGGTGTATAAGAATTGTTTGTTGGTGTAGGAAAAACTCCCCAACTCTCCCCACACACTGGAAATTGCTCTCAGAACACCAAAAGACAGCAAAAACAGTGCTTAGAAGGAAATTTTCAGCACTGAATACATACATTAGGAAAAAGGAGATTTAAATTCCATCGCCTAAACTTCCACCTTAAGAAATGAGAAAAGAGGGGCAAATTATATCCAAAGTAAGCAAAAGAAATAATAAAAATTAAACAAATCAATGAAACTGAAAACAGGAAATCAACAGCAACCACCACCACCACCACCAACAACAACAAAACTAAAAGCTGGTTTTTTGAAAAGATCAATAAAATTGGTAAGCCTTTAGCCAGGTTAACTAAGAAAAAGAGAGAGGACACAAATTACTAGTGTCAGAAATGAAAGAGGAGACATCACTACAAGTCTCATGGACACTAAAATAATAAAGGAATACTATGACTAACTCTATGTCCACAAATTTTATAACACAGATGAAATGGACCAATTCTTTGAAAGACACGACTTACCAAAACTCACACAAGAAATAGATAATTTCAATAGGCCTCTATCAGTTTTAGAAGTTACATGATCTGATTCAAGAGAGAAAGAAAAGGCATCTGAAAAAAATCCAACACCCATTCATGATAAAAACTCTCTGTAACTTGTAATATAGGGAAACTTCCTCAACTTTATTATCTTCTAAAAACCTACAGCTAAAATCATACCTAAACAGAAACTCAAAACTTTCCCACTAAGATCAGGAACAAGGCAAGGATGTTCCCTCTCCCCACTGCTTTTCAACACCATATAAAATTCCTAACTGACGCAATAAGAAAAGGAAGTAAAAGGTATACAGGCTGAGAAAGAAAAACTGTCACAGATGACATGATTATCTATATAGAAAATCTGGAAAAAAAATCAACAGAAAAACTCCAGGAACTAGTAAGCAATTACAGCAGGGTTGTAGGATGTAAGGTTAATACACAAAAGTTCACTGCTTTCCTAAATACCAGCAATGAACAAGTGGGATTTGAAATTAAAAACAATTAGCACCCAAATAAATGAAATACTAAGGTATAAATCTAACAAAATATGTACAAGATCTATATGAGAAAACAATCACTCTGGACCACTTCCACCTCTACCACACTATTCCCTACACTACTGTCTCCTCTCCTGATTGCTGCAGTAGATTCCTAGCTGATCTCCCTACTTCTACATTTGACCCTTTCTCTTTTCTCCTCACTATAGCCAAGGTAATCCTGAAATTAGATCATAAGTAAACCCAACAATTTCATAGTGGCCTCAAATGGCCTGTGTCCTGGCCCCCCTGACCATCCCTCTAACCTCATCTTCTACCGCTCTCCTCCATGCTTACTCTACTCCAACCATGTAGTCTTCCTTGCTGTTCCTCAAACATGGTCCCATCCTGGGAGCTTTGTACTGCTACTTCCTCTTCCCGCCAAATATCCAAAAGGGTCAGCACTTACTTCCTTCATGTTCAGTATCATTTTATAGGAATACCTTCCCTGAATATCCTATATAAAAGAGTAACAACCTTAATCACACATATTCTGCAACACTCTTATCTTCCTGTATTTCTTTTCAATGTACTTAAACACTATCTGACACTTGACATATTCTGTATTTGTTTATTAGCTGTCCCATCCCTTCCCCAAACTGGAATGTTAAACAGAGATTTTTGTCCACTTTGTTCATTACTTTACCCTTGGCACCTGGAAATGTTACTGGCACAAAGCACACAAATATTGGTTGAATGAATACAAATACATAAGCCATCTACCACTGTTAATCTTAAGTAAAAACATTTCAATACGAAAACCATTCTGGATCATTCCTATTCTTATGTTAAGTAATTGCAGGCAAATTACTCAATTCAGTTTATCCATGACAAATCTTTTTTCAACTTACTCTTGAGGTGTGGCATTTCAAACAAAAAGAACTTTATTGATAAATCCACTTTTTTTTTTACTGACTTCCAAGATTATTGATAATTATTTACATAACAACTATTCAAATAAGCAAGTCAAAAAAAATCACAAACTGCCAGAAAATCAATTCCTCTTCCTCGAAAAAGCAGAGAATAAAAATGGCTTTAAAGTACAGATTAGCAAAATTTCTACAAAGGGCTAAATCATAAAAATTTTAGGCTCTGTGGAACATATGCATACAGTCCCTGTCTTTTATTATAACCCTTCAATAACATAACAGGCTATAGGCTAGATCTGACCCACAGGTCATAGTTTGTCAACCCTGCCTCAGAGAAATGTCCTGAGTGCTTAGTCTGGTGTTTCACAGATGTCCAAGATATATGCCTATGTACACCTGAGAAAGGCATTTAAAAACCCAATGAATAAAGCACACTAGAAAATAGACCATTCTCAAATTTTTCCTGAGCCGTAAAAGTAGTGTTTTACATCTGGAGAACTTTTATTAGAACGAACATTTTTTAAAGTATTTCAGAGCAAACCAGTAAGTGACTTTTAAATAATCTAACACTAAATTCCCTTCATAAATTAATGGTTGATCCTATGACATTTACAGTATCTTTTAAAAATAAAATTAAAAAAATAACAGTACCTCATACAGAAACATATTCTTAGACTCTTTAGAGAAGTTTTTTAAAATGAAATCTGCAAAAGTTTTAAAATTTTCACCTGCCACAATGTTCCCAGAACGTGCCACAACCTTGAATCCATCAGCTACTTTGTCTACACTATCTCCATGAGTAAGCAAAACAATTTCTTCCTTCTGAAGACCCCTAAACATACAAAAAATAAAACACAACACAGAAATATCTTAATTAAAGACATGGTCAATGGGATCTTATGCTTTATTTTTTTCCAGCTTTACTGACATAATTGACATGTAATAGTATGTAAGTTAAAGATGTACAACATGATGATTTGATATATATATATAATGAAATAATTACCACAGAAAGGTTAGTTAACACATACATCACACATCACATAGTTACCATTTTTTTATGTGTATAGGGAGAACATTTAAGATCTACTCTCAGCAACTTTTAAGTATACAAGACAGTTGTTAACTGTAGTCACCATGCCTGAACATTAGATCCCCAGAACTTACTCATCTTACAACTAGTTTGTTCTTTTCCTTTAATATACTAACTCACCATATGTGGAAAACAATAAAATAGGGAAAAAAAAGTACGTAGCAGTGCAACACTGCTAGAATTTAAATTTATTCTGTGCATTATAAATAAAGCCAAACGGAGTATTAAATCTCAAAAAAGGCAATCTGTAAAAATTGAAAACTGAAAAAAATATATTTAAAAGTTGGTGGTATAACCACATGCATAAAAAATTATTTCAAGAAGCTACAAAATAATAATTTCAATATTTTTTCTCTATTAGGATTTATCTTAAGAGAAGGCATTTCAGAGATCTAAACATTCAGTAGTTTTATATCAGAAAGTAAAAGTACTAATACTGATATTGTTATTTTGCAGCTATATATACTGTAAATACATGCATGTTATAGGTTAAAACAAATATTAAATAATTAGGAATTGAGGTTTTCAGCCTCAGAGTAAGGAGATACAAAAATCAAAGTTGTTATAAAACCCCATAAACTTTCATTTTAAATGGAAATAAGAGTATACACGGATTTTGTTTTCTCTAAAAGAATACATATTGACTAAATTTATTCACTGAAAGGGCCTAGAAACAAAGACAACCCAGTAGCAATGTGGACCTCTATTTCTCATGCCAAACACGTTAAAGGCATAGGTTAAAGAAGATGTAACATTCGGGACACCTGGGTGGCTCAGTTGGTTAAGCGACTGCCTTCGGCCCAGGTCATGATCCCAGGGTCCTGGGATCGAGTCCCACATCGGGCTCCTCGCTCAGCGGGGAACCTGCTTCTCCCTCTCTCTCCCTCTGCTTGTGCTCTCTCTGTCAAATAAATAAAATCTTTAAAAAAAAAAAAAAAAAAAAGAAGATGTAACATTCATCAAATGCAACATGTGGACTTTCTCTTGACCCTGATTCAAACAAATCAACTATAAAAAGATATTTCTTACATTATGAGAAAATCTGACAGAGGACTGAATATTAAATATTAAGAAGTAAAAAAAAAAAAGTAAATTAAAAATAAAGCAAGAAAATAAACTACATTAAAGCCAAATGGATGTTTCAGGCTTACTACTGTTGTCATCGTTGTTGCTTAGGATTAATGTATGTTGTGAATGAGTTCCACAATTTTACAACTAGGAAGACAGACAGAAAACTTTAAATTTTAACGGGATCTTGGGGGGGAAAATGGAGGAGGAGACGAACCATGAGAGACTATGGACTCTGAGAAACAAACTGAGAGTTCTAGAGGGGAGGGGAATGGGGGGATGGATTAGCCTGGCGATGGGTACTAAAGAGGGCACGTATTGAATGGAGCACTGGGTGTTATACGCAAACAGTGAATGATGGAACACTACATCAAAAACTAATGATGTAATGTATGGTGACTAACATAACATAATAAAATTTTTTTTTAATGAAAAAAAAATATTTTTTAACCAGATCTTTAGATATAAAGCCTCTGCAGTATCACATACTACCATGATTCCTAAAATGGTTCTCAAGGCTAGTCACTTTAGATGCAGAAGAATGTAAGCAAAACCTCTCCATTATGAAGTGCAGTAAGTGCTAGATTTCAAATGCATTTTGGTAATGAGTAGCTTCAGCTCATAAGATTATTTTGAGCCACCATGGCTTTTTTAATTAATCTTCCTTTGAAAACGAGAATATTCGAACAGATATACTTATTTTTGCTCTTCCTCAAAATTAAAGAGGAGACAGCCATAGCCAGTTTTGTTTATAATCTGGGATATCTCCATTTCAGATAATAAGTTTATAACTTGGATTTTAAAATTTCTGATCTGTCCAATTTGGAGAAAACTATTCATTAGAAATTAATTTAGGCACAAGCATGTTAACAAAACATACCTATAACTAAAAATAATTAGCACAATTAAAAGAAATGATAACAAGAAGTAACTGCATAATGGACAGACTTGAGGAATCACTATGCTGTACACTCGAAACTAATGTTAACACTGTGTCAACTATACTTCAATTATAAATAGATAGAAGTAAATTTCTTGGATTCACACACACACAAAAAGGGGTAGCTGTGGCTCACTAAATGACATCAGTTTTATAAATTTTATAGATTTAATGCAGTAAGGGGGAAATGTAGTTTTAAAGTAAAAATGAAATTTAAGGGGCTCCTGGCTGGCTCATTCGGTAGAACATGCAACTCTTGATCTCAGGGTTCTAAGTTTGAGCCCTGCTGGGTGTAGGATTACTTCAAATCCTTTAAAAAAACGAAAAAATAAAAATGAAATTTAAGTCAAAATGAAGCAAGTCAGGGGGCTCAGTCAACAGAGCATACTACTCTTGATTCTGGGGTTGTGAGTTTGAGCCCCACACTGGGTGCAGAGATTATTTAAAAATTAAAAAAAAAAAAAAAAAAAAAGCAAGTGAGTAACCCTATCAACAATCCCCTAAAATGAGCTTTACCCAAAACATGGAAAACTCCCAAAAAAGAAAGCTTCTGGTCCTCTGGAAAACTGAATGAAAATGCAGCCATGTTTTTTTTAAGTCAAGCAGAAGATAAATGGTTCCAGGAAGGGAGTGAATAGCTCATCCACCAATTTTTAAATAGATTAGAGCTATAGCACCTCATCTGTTGTTACCTAGAACAAAAATCAATTAATACATTCACTATATTAAAAGATAGTATGCTAGGTACAGTTATGCTCAACGTAGAGAAAGTGAGCAGGAGGGAAACATAACACATATTTAATAATGAGTCCAACAAATTGGTTGTGTGCTAAGTACCCAGCAAAAACATGAGGGAAGAGATATACAAACACATTTGGTAGATACAAGATAGTTTAAAACATCCATTTGCCACATAGGGCACATTAATGTTTAGAATCACACTCCAAAGAGTAAAAAGGAAAAACTACAAATGTTGGCATTCCCAAACAAGGATCCAAGACTGAACACGTGCTTTTAAGTTATGTCATAAGTGCTTTCCTTACCCCTACTTAGCATCACCACCATCCTCTGCCACCCTGACACTCAAATGGAAAACAAATATGACAGTTACACCTCTGGCCACTAGTACGGCCTTAATTTGTCTAAGAATGAAGGAATCTCTAATTTTGAAGAATAACAATCCCAAATTTAAGTCAGTTACTCTACTAACTGTTCTTATGCATCTAAAAATATCTATAATACCTGAATAACGAGCATGTGTTGTCCACACTAATACTGAAGACTCCATCTTCTCTAACACTTTTTTTGTGCACAGTACCTCCAAATACCTTATTCATCATCTGTTCAAAGAGAAAATAAATTGACATCAATATGAATCAAAAGAATTACCCAATCATTTTATTATGCTAATTTAATAATTTATATTCCTGTTTTCAGGATATCTGCTGTTTGTGTCCCCAAAATAAAGAGTTAGATAAATGTAGACAGCTTGGTATTATTATATGTAATTATACAGTTATTAAGAGGAATAGTTATAAAACAAAACTAGATTAGAAATCTGACCTGAGGTTAATTTCTATTAAACACTGGCAGATTTTCCATTTAGTGTATTTTAATTCATTTGTTAAAAATAGATATTTAATACTTACATCTGGGTTTAATTTAAAAGCATTTTAAAAGGTACTCTGAGCTTAGAAAAAGCTAGAGCAGACGAAAGGAAGAGCTTTGGTATTAAAACTAGGCAGGTACAAATTTCTCCAAATGATTTAACCTTTGGCCCCAAAGGAACAGTCTGAAAGCCTGCAGAAGGCTATGTTGTGGAGAGAGCATAAGCAAGAAAATCTGGTCTTTCAATTAAATTTATTTGTATAAATCCGATACATCTACAGACTCCCCCCCAACACCAAATAAAAACACACAAAATTTCTACAATCGTTAATTCTGCCTTGATGCAATCACTATGATTCATCTCCGTATATCTGTTTCACACAGTTGTCACAAGATACCTGCCATAACCATGCAAGATACAAGTTGATCCAGCTCCTGATAAAAAAGCAGGCAGAGGGCTAATAAGTGTTCATTCGGATAATGCACAGTGGAATAGCCTTCAAAACCATCAGCAAATGCTGCCCTCTACATTCTCCTCTTAAGACATTCACAATAAAGCTTACTGCAATAAAGGTCTGGGTTAAGTTCAGCAGGAAAAAAACTTGCTAACCCATTTAGCCCAGTATTTCCCAAACAAAAAACCCAGGTTATCAAACACTTTCTGCAGCACATTAACTACCACACAGTTTAGGAACACTGCTACAATCTAACCAGTTCCCCTGCCTCTAGTCACTTCTCTTCTTCCCCCTCATTCTGTACTCAAACCATTCAAGCTAGAGTAATTGCCAAAACAGACCATGTTCTCTCCCCCACGTCTTCAGGTCTCTTCACAGTCCCAGGGGCCTAACAAAGTATGTGGCCCAAAGCAGTCATTAAAAGCTTCTGAATGAAAAATTAAGTGCTTTCTTCTATATACTCAGTGAACCTTGTGTACCTCTACCTTCCTTAATTTGCTGTTCTTAATTAGAAGACAGCTGAATGATCAAGATAACTAAAACTGTTGGAACTCAACGCAATTTAAAAGTCCACAAAGGGGGGCGCCTGGGTGGCTCAGATGGTTGAGCGTCTGCCTTCGGCTCGGGTCATGATCCCAGGGTCCTGGGATCGAGTCCTGCATCGGGCTCCCTGCTCCTTGGGAGCCTGCTTCTCCCTCTGCCTCTCTCTCTCTCTGTCTCTCATGAATAAATAAATAAAATCTTAAAAGTCCACAAAGGTCAATGGGCAAAACTAAATATATTACTTAGGGATATAAACTTATGTATAAAGCTGTAAAGAGAAAAAGGGGAATGAATAACAAAATTCAGGGAAAGTGCTGCCTCTGGTAAGAAAAGAGAACAACATGAATGGAGAAAAGTATAAAGAGTTTCAAAAGTTCTACTAATATTCTATTTCTTACGCTGAGTGAGGGGATATAAAGATAAAAGGAGCAATGGGCAAGACAGTCTTTTTTCTTCTAAAGCAAAGAATTCCCAGAAAGCTATTAGAAAGGTTCTCACAAGAGTCCAGTGAATGGGAAAGATGGTACATAAGACACTGAAATAACTAAAATTTCAGGATGCTCTTGGGGGCAAAAGTATACACTAGGGTGAGACCTTTGGTGCTAAACTTACCCAACTAACAATCACTAAGAATTATTAGTCCTTTAAAAACAACATATTAGCTAGATGGTATCATCTATACCAATATTTTATGGAAAGACAATTTCTTTTTTTTTTTTTTTATGGAAAGACAATTTCTATCTAAAGGACCAAGATCAGCCTATTCTATTGTCCTAATAAGTAAGTTCAGAGGACATAAAGGCAAATTGTTTTACATATTTAACATGAGCAGGCCTAGCTCTGGCTACCGCAAGATCTCTACTGAATGACAGAAAAATTAGGCCTTACAATTATATGGGGGACTGGCATAAGGGAGAAACAGTCAGTCACTAGCACTTAAGTTAAGGCAGCATTTTCCAGACATATTTCACTATAAGGGGTCCTGAAAAAAAAAATATCTGTGAGACTCTTCCTTACAGAATGTTATAATACCTCAATATACTAAAAATCATTTAACGTTAAGTTGTGCTACATTATTAATACTGACTACTCTGGCATGGGAGATCAATAAATTATGTAAATACATTACATCCAAGAGCAAAGGTATATTAAAAAAAAAAAAAAACCAGCCAGTTTCCAAAGTTCAACTCAATCAGGATGTAGACTCTTCTAAGAAAATGTATTCATTAGGATACTATATAAGAAAATCCAAAAGTAAGTTGTTATCCAAGTCAAATTCATAACCACCACTTGGCTTTTCAGAAAACTTTAACAGGACAAAAAGAGCCTTTTACTAGAAAATGCTTGCTTCCTAGAGAAAAAAATACCCATTGTTGTAGCTTTTGAACTTCATACATCACATATTTTTAGGGGTCAGTATTTCCTCTAAATCAAAGTGGAAAACTATAATGAACAATTAGCAAGAAATGAAATCTGGTAAAGCTGTTTTACAGACCAGTGATCCCTAATATTCTGCTTTTGTATCAAGTATAAGAACAACAAAAATATTCATTCTTATGTGAACATTGATTTTTATTGTTTTTTCCTTTGCTGAATGCTCCAGGGCCAGATAAAATATACTGGTCTGCTCACTTTCTACCTTTTAGACAGCCTCCTTCTGTACAATATTCATATTAAAGCACAGCAATTTCAACCAGATTGTTTAATTATTCTTTTTTTTTTAAGGTTTTTATTTATTTATTTCATAGAGAGACAGCGAGAGCGGGAACACAAGCAGGAGTGGGAGAGGGAGAAGCAGGCTTCCAGCCAAGCAGGGAGCCTGCTGCAGGGCTAGATCCCAGGACACTGGAATCACGACCTGAGCCGGAGGCAGATGCTTAACGACTGAGCCACCCAGGCGCCCCTCAACCAGATTGTTTAAAAAAAAAAAAAAAAACGACTCCCTCTGTTTTGCCCATTACTAAAATTTCAAGTTATCTTCAATCCAAGGACTTAAAACAACTCAGTCACTGGGAGAAAGAACACATCATCTTAAGCCATATATACAAGAAATCAAAAGTTAATAGAGAATTCTCAATAATCAATTAGGGAGGACCAATGTATCATGAGGAAATTAAAAAGCTAATGTTTTAATTAATACCGATTCCATTTGGTCAGTTAGGATCTCACATTAGATATTCCACTTGTATTGTGACCCTGTCTTCCCGTCTGATTTAGTACAGGCTAAAGCCAAAAGGTGGGCAAAAGGGAAAAGAGATCAAGATCATTTATAAACAAGTGAATCCAGTCATTGTATTTATTTGGCTATTCTTATCATAGCAGAGAATTCTGAGTTTAAAAAAAAAAAAAACTATCTTGCTTCTGACACTAGAAAAGGCAAAATACTATAACATGTCAATTAGTAATTATATTACCCAGGGAATACTATCCCAGCTAGCTCAATTTTCAGATGATGTGGTTAAGTAAGATACAATGTTAAAAGTTAACCTGAACTAGAAAATCATTTTGCTTACAATCACTAGGGATAACTTTTCTTAAATGTATTTATTTCTATTCCCACCTCCTTAGTAAGTAGATCTTATTGAACAAATCATTCTAAGTGAGAACTTAGCATGTTACTGGCTCAGTATTATCTTTCTATCATCTTATTCAGTAATCACATTCTACTTGTCTAATAAACCTATACTCCTCTAAAAAGGTATCAAAGCAGCCAAAATAGATTTCTAAACATTTAACTTATAGAAGAATAGTTTTATATCTAGACCTCAGTCCCTATATATTCTTGTTTTTGATACAATTCCAAGGTATGCATACTCATTAACGATACAGTGGAGACACCTGGAAGACATCGTCTTAACTAAACGATCAAACTGTCATGGCACACACTGACATCACGTGCCTCCTAATGACCTGCTCTGAGAGGAGCAGAGCATTTCTGTGCTACTCCTGCCAAAAGAACAGAACCTGAACCTAACAATGAGGAAACATCAAATAAACCAAAACTGAGGGAGAATCTATAAAGTAAATGGAATGTCTTTTTTTTTTTTTTTAAACTGTCGAGGTCATGAAAGAGAAGAAAAGACTGAGGAATGGTTCCAAAATAAAGGACATGACAACTAAATATAACACATGGTCCTAGATTGGACACGGTACTTACAAGGGATATTAATGAGACAAACAATGAAATGTGAATGCAGTCTGTGGATTAGATGCAAAACTGAATCAGTGTTAACTTCCTGATTTTGATATTTGGACTGTAGTTACATAGGAGAGAGCTCTCATCCTTAGGAAATACAACAAGTAACAGGACATAATGTGTGCAACTTACTCTCAAATAGTTAAAAATGTCAACAGTAAGAGGGGCACCTGGGTGGCTCAGTTGGTTAAGCATCCGACTCTTGATTTTGCCTCAGGTCATGATCTCGGGGCTCAGAGTCATGGGATCAAGCCCCCCCCCCCACCTGGAACTCTGTGCTCAGCATGGAGTCTGCTTGAGATTCTCTCACTCTCCCTTCCGCCCCTCCCCTGGCTCATGCACGCATGCAGGCATGCTATCTCTAAACTAAATAAATCGTTTTAAAAATGTCAACAATTAGGGAATTGAGTAAAAATATAAATGAGCTCTGTGTACTATTTCTGTAACATGTAAATTTGAATGTCTAAATTTTTTTTAATGGACAGTGTTATGTTGTATTCAGTAGTATAGTTACTTCTCTAAAAACAGATTTCCACTCAGGTCGGTTCTGCCATACTGCTATAACAATTTGTAAACAGTCGCAACATGCACAAATTAACTCATACAATATCCTAAATACTCTAAAGACAGAAAATATTAGTACAATAAGAATCACAAAGAGAATAAATTAAGTCAACTCTTAAGGCAAATTCACAGATGTACCTGCATGCCATAGCAAATTCCAAGAACAGGTTTGCCAATAGTGAATATCGCTGGATCAAACCAGGGAGCATCTTCTGCATACACAGAATTAGGTCCTCCAGAGATGATAATAGCACTGTGGATTTAAGGAAGAGAGTCAGTGAAGAATCCTCTAACTGCTAATTTTTATCCCGAAGTCCATGCCCTCTCTCCCTTGAAGCACTAAGACTCAGTACAGATGCAGAGATTTTGTTATGTTTTCAGTACCGTGGCAGATCCAGCCTCCTACACAGCTCAGTCATCTGTACTCTACTGAAATGTGTGAAAGTCCATCAATTCAACATTCACTTGTTAATAAGTACAAACTTCAAATACATAAATACTAATGTTTCTATCTGTAAAGGTTTAGCATGAGTTTGTTTTGTCTTCCACATTAATGAAGGAGTAAATGAGAATTCTAAAGGGAGATGGAGAAAATATAGGTCTTCCGGGAAGCAAGGAGTAAAGCAAGTCACAGAAAGACCCTAGATGACACAGCAAAATACAACAAAGGAGGACAGAATATGAATAATAACCTAACTTTGCCTGTTGAAAACCTATCCAACGTTCCCAACAATTTTACCTGAGACCCAGGAAAGGGAGCTAACATACGAATTTTGCCCATATGGCATTCTCTCAGAACCCAGGTCAATATTATAATTTCACTATATTATAATTTACAGAGCATTCGATGGGTTAACTTGGGAGTCAAACAGTTATTATGGAAAAGGCTGCAAACTGAGGCCTATGCTCTTCACCTGGCCAGTGATAGATCTAATTTGGCCCTCAGCATACACTCAAAAGATTGAGAACATTTTAATATTACAAATTTTACATAAAAATCCAGATTTCTGGGTTTTCTTTAGGAAGAGGGGAAAAAAAAATCTAGCAGCACTTGACCTTCACTCTCATATGGCTACAAACAACTGGAATCACAGAGAAACCTGCATCTTCAGACTACTCCTGCTTCCCAGTTTGCCACACATGCCCTCTTATACAATAGAGGCATACCTATGCTCATCACTTAATCTAAGGTATCCTCAAACTCATTTTAGGTTTGAGTTTTGCAGGAATCCTGATTTATCTACATTTCTAAAGGAAAATGCATTTTAAGATCTAACCAAAATCTTCTTACAAATTTAGGCAATTCACTTTGTAATTAGCAGCTGCTTGCCATATAAAAACACACAAACTAAAATACAGGCTTATAATACATCCAGAAGAATGATATAATAGTCAAATTCATAAAAATTATTCAGCAAGACAGGACATTTTTAAAAAATATAACAATTCAAGTGAGCTCAAAGGCCCCATTTGAACTTTGTATTGCTAACATGAATTATGCTATTCATCATGTTTGTTAGCCTGTCTCCTGCAAAAGAGACTAAAGACAACCTACTCAGATGATAAATGTAACATCTTTAAGATAACAATCCTAAAGGGGTGTAGCATTAGCCTTAAGGGTAGATACGCAACTTAGCTCTTTAAAAATGCATAAGCTAAAATTCTATAAAACATAAATAAACAGCCCTCTAGAATTTCAGTACATTATACTTAGTTTTATAAAAGATAACCACCATGGGACTGCCCAGCATTTCTCATTAATCTGCTAAACAACTCATGACTGTAAGATTCTTAAGACTATTAAAAAGAAAAGGGAATGGACTTAGTCAAGGATGAAACCTAAGCAGTTTAAGCCAATTATGAAAATTCTTATCTCAATAACTCTCAAGAAGAGCTAATCACTCAGTCTTCTAGTTCTACCCTGCAATTATTTTGAAACTAACTTGCAATTACAAAGCCAATAAGCCACAAGGCATTCCAGATACCAATTTTAAGCAGGTCAAATTTCCAAAAACAAGTAGGTTAAGAGGTCTTTCCTCTCATAATATTAATATTCTAGGAAAAGGATGATCAACTAGATAGCAGACAGGATTATAATAAGCAAAGCCACAGGGCTATAGTTCCTATACTCCTACACAGAAAGAACCTCTAGACACAAGCAGGACCTAAGAATTGTTTATAATCAGGTGGCAGGAAAAATAATTAGCATTCTATTGCCAAGTATTTGGCTACCCTATTTTTTTTTTTTTTTTAAGATTTTATTTATTTATTTGACAGAGAGAGACACAGTGAGAGAGGGAACACAAGCAGGGGGAGTGGGACAGGGAAAAGCAGGCTTCCCGCCGAGCCAGGAGCCTGATGCGGGACTCGATCCCAGGACCCTGGGATCATGACCTGAGCCGAAGGCAGACACTTAACGACTGAGCCACCCAGGCGCCCCCAGCTACCCTATTCTTAAACATTTAGCCTGGGTTAGTCTGCTGGAGATTTTTTGTTTGTTTGGGGTGAAGGGAATGAAGGAGCTTAGTTATGACAGAGAGACATTTAGAATTCTCACACAGTTTTTTGATTCCCTAAAACTGGTTCTCACTGGCAAACTGACACAGTCACGTTAGAGAAACTCAAGGGTCCCTTCTTATTCTAAAAATTCTACAGTTTGAAAAGAGATGACTGGGGCGCCTGGGTGGCTCAGTCGTTGGGCATCTGCGTTCGGCTCAGGTCATGATCCCAGAGTCCTGGGATTGAGCCCTGCATCGGGCTCCCTGCTCAGTGGGAAGCCTGCTTCTCCCTCTCCCACTCCCCCTGCTTGCATTCCCTCTCTCGCTGTGTCTTTCTCTGTCAAATAAATAAATAAAATCTTTTTTTAAATAAATAAATAAAAAGAGATGACTGTTTTTAACTGTATCCTAAGACTAGGACAGTTAAATTTCAACCTGTCTTTTCTGCTTTCCAATTCACTCTATTTCAGAAACAAGAATCACAGGATAAACAGGTCTATGAAGACTTTAAAAGTTAACCATTTCTCTAATGGAAAAAAATTATGCTTTTGAGAAAAATTAAACATATTGTATTTTGAAAGAAATATAGCATTAATGTTTAAGACCCAATTAAAGTTACAAACTGCAGTTGTTTGCTTTTGGTAACACTCTTAATATACAAAGACCATCAATTCCATGAGAAAAGGCATAGCATTAACCAGAAATTGTTAAAGGAAGAAACAATATAAGTTGGCTGTCATTTTGACTAGTTCTGAGCATAAAAGCTGTTGAATTAGACCTTATATTAGACTTGAGAAACCTTCATATTTTAGAAACTCAGTCTCTTGGGATAGGAGGCAAAAGAGACTCATTGGACACAGAATTCTTCTCATTTAGGTATTCTAGCCACTGTATATATTCCTTTGATCAAACGCTCGGGGATGAATGAATGACCATAATAGCCAAATTCAAGTCTGACCCAAAATCCTAAAAAAAAAATAAAATATTCAAATGAAAAATTCTTGTAACTGTGCAATTAAAATTAAGGCAATCTTTTTAACTAAAAATTATTTTTCCTTTAATTTTTTAAAAATCAGAACCAGGGGCGCCTGGGTGGCTCAGTCGTTAAGCATCTGCCTTCGGGTCAGGTCATAATCCCAGGGTCCTGGGATTGAGCCCCGCATCGGGCTCCCTGCTCCGTGGGGGGCCTGCTTCTCCCTCTCCCTCTCCTGCTGCTTGTGTTCCCTCTCTGTGTCTCTCTCTGTCAAATAAATAAATAAAAATAAAATCTTTAAAAATCAGAACCACAGAAGAAAACTTTTTGTAAAACCACTGCATGTCTTATATTCATTTAAAAAAATTCAGTGCCCAGGGCACCTGGGTGGTGTAGTCGTTTAAGTGTCTGACTCTTGGTTTCAGCTCAGGTAGTGATCTAATGGTCCTGAGACAGAGCCCCAGGTCGGGCTCCGCACTCAGCATGGAGTCAGCTTAAGACTCTCTCTCCCTCTCTGCCCCACCACCTCTCCCCCAACCCCGAACACTCCCTCGCTCTCTCAAAATATATCTTTAAAAAAAAAAATTCAGTGCGCAAGCAAATTAATAAAAAATTCCACAACCTAAGCTCAATCTCATAGAAAATACAAGTGTAAGGTCTACCGGAATCCTTGCTCTTTTATGGCAAATGCTGGTGTTTCCAAGGGAAAGATTTCCGACTGCACGAACAGTTCTCTCACTCTTCGATCTATGACTTTCCCGTACTGGGCACCAGCATCCAGAATGACAACAGCTCCTTCATAGTGGTGGCGGCCATCCTTAAGGTCTCCTCCAGCATTCTCCAGCTGCAAATATTAAGGCAAATGTCCTCTTAGTTATAAAAATTAGAGCTCCTTTAAAAAAGAGTGGTCACTGTCAGCTCCAAAAACATACAGAAACAAAAACTGTTAACTTGCCAATTCAAAAGCACTTCTTTTAAAAGGAAGATTTTTATACATATCCATACGTGGGCATACATAAACACTTTAATAAAAGCCAGCATTTACTGACTATGTAATATAGTCACTTTACATATAAATGCATCTTATATATATTATCTAACATGGTGGACATACAACCCAGCTGTGCCAAAATATAGTCCTAGTTTATGCCTGTTATACTGGCATTATTACTAAGAGGGCCTCCTGTGAATCTCAAAAGCATCCTAGCTTGAACAATAAATTATATGGTCACCCTATCTAACAGTCACAGTATTCCTATGAGGGATATACTGATGAAGAACTTAAAGTTTGCTGCCAGAGTATAAGCATGCTCAAATTCATTTCATTAGGATTTTTTGTATTACATGAGGAAACGGTTATATACAGATGCATCCAACCCATAACATTAGAATTTTAAAAAGGTTTTTTAATCTTATTTCTGTCACCTATATATTGATAATACTTTTCTGGAAAGCCATTTGACAAAATGTAAAATTTTTAACTATGTATGCTGGAATAGTTACTTGGAACTGGCTTCAGATTAATGTAAGAGTAGGTGGGTATGGATGAAACAAGATTGCTTGCCTATGCACTGAAATCACTTCAGCTGAATGATACACAGTCTTCATTTTAGTCTAGTCTCTATTCTGTTTTTGTACATTTTATATAAGAAAAAAACTTTAGGGGTGCCTGGGTGGCTCAGTCGTTAAGCGTCTGCCTTCGGCTCAGGTCATGATCCCAGGGTCCTGGGATCAGGCCCCACATCGGGCTCCCTGCTCGGCGGGAAGCCTGCTTCTCCCTCTCCCACTCTCCCTGCTTGTGTTCCCTCTCTCGCTGTCTCTCTCTGTGAAGTAAATAAATAAAATCTAAAAAAAGAAAAAAACTTTAAAAACATGTGTGTACTCTGGAAAAACACTTGTAGGATGCATATAATCCCATTTTAAAATATTTCATCAAGAATGTATATACATGTATGAAGAAGAAACACAGAGACAGATACACACAAAAATACTAACAGAGGTTGTATCCAAGTAATGAGCTACAGGTGATTTACAATTTTTCTCATACTCTTCAGTATGGTTTTTTTTTTGTTTCTTTTTTTTTTTAATTTTATTTTATTATGTTATGTTAATCACCATACATTACATCATTAGTTTTTGATGTAGTGTTCCATGATTCATTGTTTGCATATAACACCCAGTGCTCCATTCAATACGTGCCCTCTTTAATACCCATCACCAGGCCAACCCATCCCACCAGCCCCCTCCCCTCTAGAACCCTCAGTTTGTTTCTCAGAGTCCATAGTCTCTCATGATTCGTCTCCCCCTCCGATTTCACCCTCTTCATTTTTCCCTTCCTGCTATCTTCTTCCTTTTTTTTTTTTTTTCTTAACATATAATGTATTATTTGTTTCAGAGGTACTGGTCTGTGATTCATCAGTCTTAACACAATTCACAGCGCTCACCATAGCACATACCCTCCCCGATGTCTATCACCCAGCCACCCCATCCCTCCTACCCCCCACCACTCCAGCAACCCTCAGTTTGTTTCCTGAGATTAAGAATTCCTCATATCAGTGAGATCATATGATACATGTCTTCTTCAGTATGTTTTAAATGTTTACAATAAACATTTTTGGAGTTTTCCCCCCTCCAGCTGTAAAATTTGCACATAAAAAAGCATAAGCCAGTCCTTCAGACACTTATGTAATTCTTTCCATGCCTCTTCCTTTTCCCTTTATATGAAAAAACAAAAGACCTCACAACATCACTAACACTTCTGCTACAGTAATGAAAAAAGCCAACAATCACAGCCATCTACAGAGGAGGATTTGTGAGAAGGACTGACCACAGGCCAGAAAGAATTACTCAGATCACAAAAATGAAGATTTTAATCATATGAATACTGAACAATGTAGAAAAAGCAGAATACAGAAAGTTTATAAAATATATTAGAGTGCAAGAAATACTAAAACTTTTTCCTTTTAGACCTTTGCCCTTAGTCCACACACAAACATACATACTACTCTTTAAAGAATTTATCTAAAATTCTTTAATCTTAATCTATTTTTTTGTAAAGAATAGAAAGTGTTGGGGCGCCTGGATGGCTCAGTCAGTTAAGCAACCGACTCTTAATCTCAGCTCAGGTCTTCATTTCAGGGTCGTGAGTTCAAGTCCTGCATGGAGCTCCAAGCCCAGTGGGAAGCCTACTTAAAAAAAGAAGGGGGGAAGGGGGGAGGGGAGCAGAGCAAAGAAAGAAGAGAAAGAAAAGTTTTGGGGCACCTGGCTGGTTTGGTCGATGGAGCGCATGACTCTTAATCTCTTGGTTGTGAGTTTGAGCTCCATGTTGGCTGTAGAGATTACTTAAAAATAAAAATCTTTTTAAAAAAGTGTTTTGAAGGACTACTTTGTTATTGTGTCCCCTTATCACTGTCAAAATTTTTACCAAATCCAGTACAACCTGTTTTGTTTTTTTTAACACTGCAGGCAGAGTTCTCACTTTCCATGATTCTGACAAGCATAAATTTCAGTTATCATGGTTTATACCAAGGTTTAGTTAACTAACAACAGTCTGCAATAACATGGCTCAAATTTCAGTTACCATAATTAGCTGTGAGAAATTACATTAAGTACAAACTTCGCTGTCAGCTCTTCAATCCATAAATCACATTAATAACAAATATGATGATCACTGACCGATGTGTCCCTTCTTTTAAAGTTTATTGCAATTGGACAGTGCAAAACAAATAGCTAGAGTACAGTTGTGTTACCTCCTTATTGCCCAGTAATAAATCCACATGACATTTTACAGGGAGCCTGCTTCTCCCTCTGCTCCTTATCCCACTCATGCTCTCTCTCTCTCTCAAAAGTAAATAAACAAAATCTTTTAAAAAAAGAAAGAAACTCTTGGAGGTATTTCATGACATTTCAATTGTAAAGGATAAAATGTCAAAAGCCAAGGAGGCACAGAAAAGATGCAAAGGGAAACACTGTTTTAAGGCATAGAAAAGATGCAAAGGGAAAGACTGTTTAAACTACTCTTGATTCATATTTCACAAAGAAAACAATTCTCATTGTGTCTAATGTTTTAACTTATACTAAACAGTTATAGTATTTTATTTCTTATACTTGTATAATTAACAGTAAGATTTAATGTTTTAACAAAATATTTTAAAGGTCCCCAAACCACTGTAATCTTCACACTGAATAAAACTGCTTTGCATAAGGACCACCTGGGTACCTCAGTCAGTTAGGCATCAGATTCTTTTTTTTTTTTAAGATTTTATTATTTATTTATTTATTTATTTGACAGAGAGAGAGAGAGTATGCACAAGCAGGGGAAGCAGCAGAGAGAGAGGGAGAAGCAGGATCCCTGTAGAGCAGGGAGCCCGATGTGGGGCTTGATCCTAGGACCCTAGGATCATGACCTGAGCCAAAGGCAGATGCTTAACCGACTGAGCCACCCAGGTGCCTCTAAGCATCCAAATCTTGATTTCAGCTCAGGTCATGATGTCAGGGTGGTGAGAATGAATCCCGCAACAGGCTCTGCGCTGGGCATGGAGCCTGCCTGAGATTTTCGGGGTGCCTGGATGGCTCAGTCCATTACACATCGGACTCCTGGTGTCCGCGCAGGTCATTATCTCATGGGTCTTGAGATCAAGCTTGTGTCAGGCTCCACACTCAGGGAGGAGTCTCCTAAAGATTCTCTCCCTCTACCCCTCCCCCAACTCTTCTGTATGTGTGCACATGCATGCATTCTCTCTAAAAAAAAAAAAAAGAAATAAATTACTTCGCATGGTTTCAGCTTGCACAATCATTTTTATGGTCGTCCTACTATTATATAGTGAGGACTGTCTGTATTTCTTTAAATCAACTCATTTTTACTTAATTGAATTTTAAAAGAAAAATGTATACTGTTTTCTTATCAGCTTTTGAAAATGTTCAATCATATAATATCAGAGGTCATTGAGGAAATACTGAATCCTTGACTCATTCTTTCTACCTCAGCTATCAACTTGCCTATCCAGCACAAACTTCAACAACTCAGGGGAAAGCAAAAAGGTCACCAGTAACGTAAGCAAAAGTTCCTTTCCCTCAAAACCTAGACTCTATTTACTCCTACTTCACAGAGTTATAAAGTTTGATAGACTTCCAAACCTTAACAGATTAGAAAAAGGACCCTAATGAGAAAAGAAGCTGTTAGTCACATCAATAGTAGAGACAAATAAAACTCAACAGTACACAACAGAAAAATCTATTATATCTATTTATACAATTAAAAAGTAAACACAGAGACGCCTGGCTGGCTCAGTCTTAGGGCGTGTGACTCTTAATCTTAGGGTGTAGAGGCTACCTAAAAATAAAATCCTTAAAAGAAAAAGAAAAAGAAACACAAATGCCTAAAAGGTTCACATCCCTCTCAACTGACTTGAGGTCATCATAATAAAGTAAATGATGTTCATAAAGATATCTTTTAAGACATCAACAAATGATATTAAGGAAACAATCAAACCATATCAGTACCCTAATTTAACAATAAAGCAAAATAATCTGGCAGATTCTCATAAGATGAAGATGGTATCATTTTTGGATCTTCCTGAATTTCCATGTATCACTGAACAGCAAAACCAAAAACTAAATGACAAGTTATCTCCCCAAATAGAAGCTGGTAGGAATAAACTACCATAGTCACAAACTCTAGTGTAACAGCATTTGTGGGGGAAACAACCGAGTTTCACTGAATAACTTGAGAACAGAATTCCAAGATAGCCAAAAAGGTACTCGCTAGAAACCACAGGGGTCAGGAGCGCGTGGGTGGCTCAGTCACTTGAATGCCTGATTTTTGGTTTCAGCTCAGGTCATGAT